GGCGATTTTGTTGATACCTCTCAACCCTCTCAGAGTACCGTCGGAGTCGCTTCCCCCATGCAGCGATCTTCTGCTTCAGTTCATCTATGCGCTCCGTAAGTTTGTGCCCGAAGTCCGGCTGGAACAGACGTACACCTGTCCCAGCAAAGGCCTCTTTTACGGAGCGCATAATTCTCGGGCGTGTGTTGCCCTCCCTGAAGCAGAGCAGTCTACCAATGAGGACTCTGGCCTGGGCGATCCGTCGTTCAATCCTTCTTTTCCAGGCTGGTTTTATATTATCCCTTTGGATATTACGTCCAGCCCGGGGCATTTTTGCGCCGGTATATCGGCATACTGCCAACGCAGCGCCAAACAGGATTGAACTCGTCTCTCCCAGGTCACCGCTGCCCTCAAGGTACTGAGGCAGCAGTCCATTTGTGGCCTCAATGGCATCCCGCGTCGCCACATTTAGATATATCCAGGGAAGCTTCGGTCTCTCTTCGAGGGGAGTTCTTCGGATCTCTAGAATCGCCTCGTCTAGTATGCTCCTCATATGCTCTATATTATTATATTATATTATTATTATTATTTTTTAAATTTCACTGAAATTCTCATCTCCCCTCTTAAGGAGAGGAGATGGCAACTAACCCCCGGCAGAAGCACAGTCGGCCGGGGTTCAGGGCCCCAGGGAGAGAAACCGGCGTACAATGCGGGCAGAATCTAAGAGCACCGCTTTCTGCATCTTTCCCGGAAGTGAACCGCCTCTGAATCCCAACCGTCTGAGATGTTGTTCGAGACTGGTTGGGATAAGACCGTTCACCGACATAACGATTGGGATGATTTCGGTAGATGTCACCCCCCACATTTCGGTCACCTCGTGAGCCAGGTCGAGATATTTTCTCTTCTTCTCGGTTTCGGCTTTCACGAGGTTCTCGTCATGCGGTATGGTGACATCCACCAAAAACACCCTCGAGAGTGCCCGATCCATCACCACGATATCAGGTTTGTTCGCAAGAACGGTCCTGTCCGTGATGATGGATCGGTCCCAGTAGAGCCTTACGCTGTCGCTTTCGAAGACCGGCTGGGGCTCATACTTATAGTACGGCAACCTCTCATTCGCGAGGCCGTACTTCAGAGCTAGCTCTTGATGGAGTATTTTGGCTACCTGGTTGTGTCTGTGCAAGTACTCAGTGTTGGCAAGAGCTGAACAACCCGAAAGCACATGTCTGAGTGACTCTCCGGGATGGCGACATGCTCGACAGATGTCCTCGGTGCCATCCTTCAGAATGTGTTTTCGGTAATTGTTCGTCTTAACCACCTGATCCTGTATTGCACAGACAAAACCCTCGGTCTCTCCGAAGAGATCACCGAACTGTAGCCAGTGCACGGAGGTCTTCGTGTTTACGTACGGCCCGTGAAGGGCTTTGAAGAACCTTCCGTGCAACTCCTTCTCTTTCCATACGGCCTCCCGCTGAGAGGTACCCAAAACTTCGGGTTTTCGCCAGTCCTCTTTAGCCAGAGAAAGAGGGGTGAATCCTTTGTCACATTCTATGACCTCTCTATGCAAACCCTCGTCTCTTTTCTCCAGAAAATATGTCCTGAGGCTGTCAATCTCGCGGTTGTGCATGGTCTTAACGCTTAACAAGCCTCGACCACCAGCTTTCCGCGGGATATACAGCCTCATGACTGACGATTTCGGGTGATGCATTCTATGGAGGGTCATAGTTGTGCGGACTTTCCGATCCAGGGCTTCGAGTTCGGTTTGAGACCATCTGAGCACGCCAAAAGTGTAAAGGAGTACGGGTATGACCCAGCCGTTATAAGCTCGGATTTTATTGGCGCCCGACAAAGAACTTTTCAGTACTCTTGTAAGGCGCGCAAAAAATTCCTCGCGGACTGACTGTTTCATATCCGTCTCCTTCACACCGATGTTTTGTGACATGCCCAGATACCGGTATGTTTCAGCCTCGGAGAGGGTTTTAATATTAGAGGGATCTGTGGCGATCCCTTCAGTTTGAGTGACCCGTCCCCTCTGCACATGGAGGACCGCGCACTTGTCTATTCCGAGCGCCATCCTAATAGAGCTGCTATAATCGTTTACGATATTTAGCAGCTCCGTCAGGCGTTCGATGCTCGGAGCTAGCAGTTTCAAGTCATCCATGTACAGAAGGTGAGACACTCGTGTACCTCCTCTCCGATACTGAAATCCAGTCCCCGAATTCTCCAGTAAAGTACTGAGTGGATTCAGGGACAGGCAAAACCAAAGTGGACTCAAACAATCGCCCTGGAATATTCCTCTCTTTATCTCTATCCGGTCAGCGGTATCCGTCAATCGCTCGCCCTGGATAGTCAGGATCGTCGTCCACTGCCTCATGCATGCCTCCAAGAACACTCGAACTGTACCGTCGATCTTGTACAGCTCGAGTATCCTCCGGAGCCATGAATGGGGCACGGAATCGAACGCCTTTTTATAATCTATCCAGGCGGCGGAGAAATTCCGACGGTTCCGCTTGACCACGTGGCCAGCGACAGCATCAATGAGGAGCAGCTCCTTCGATCCGCGGCTACCGCCCCTGCATCCGTTCTGAGCGCTAGATAGGATCTTATTCTCGTACACATGACGAGAGATCTTAGCGCTCAGAACGGATGTTAACGTCTTATATATTGTCGTAAGACAAGTGATGGGGCGATATTTAGATGGATCCGCGGTATCGTCCGTCTTAGGAGCTAAATGAGTGATCCCGGTTGTAAGGAAGTTCGGGAGCGTCCTGTTTTCGAGGGCACTCTGGAATTGCACGGCTAAGGTCGCATGGCTGGCCGAGAACGCCTTTAACCAGTAGTGCTGCAATCCGTCGATCCCCGGACTTTTCCAGTTCGGAGCCCGACGAATCGCGGCAACCACGTCTTCCTCCGTAATGGCAATGGCGTTCATCGGCGTTATTCGAGCACATGCTTCCTCAACATCGTGCATCCATGCGCCCTCCTCATGTTCCACAGGTTCAGACCACAGCTGTCTCCAGAAGGCGACGAAATTGGCTGTTTCGGGTCTTTGTCCTGTGGGCTGTAGTTTTGGGCGCTCCAAGTTCCTATAAAACTTCCGTTGATCACTCATAAAGAGGCGATTCTGTTGATACCTCTCAACCCTCTCAGAGTACCGTCGGAGTCGCTTCCCCCATGCAGCGATCTTCTGCTTCAGTTCATCTATGCGCTCCGTAAGTTTGTGCCCGAAGTCCGGCTGGAACAGACGTACACCTGTCCCAGCAAAGGCCTCTTTTACGGAGCGCATAATTCTCGGGCGTGTGTTGCCCTCCCTGAAGCAGAGCAGTCTACCAATGAGGACTCTGGCCTGGACGATCCGTCGTTCAATCCTTCTTTTCCAGGCTGGTTTCATATTATCCCTTTGGATATTACGTCCAGCCCGGGGCATTTTTGCGCCGGTATATCGGCATACTGCCAACGCAGCGCCAAACAGGATTGAACTCGTCTCTCCCAGGTCACCGCTGCCCTCAAGGTACTGAGGCAGCAGTCCATTTGTGGCCTCAATGGCATCCCGCGTCGCCACATTTGGATATATCCGGGGAAGCTTCGGTCTCTCTTCGAGGGGAGTTCTTCGGATCTCTAGAATCGCCTCCTCTAGTATGCTCCTCATATGCTCTATATCCTGGGAAGTTGTTCCGTCCGCATCCGCTTCTGAAAGCGTTTCGGCAACCACCTCTACGCTAGGTAGCACGTCTGAGATGGGTTGCTCTACGGTCGCGGAGTTTGTTTCTGGAACAACTTCACTTCGCAATCGTTCGAGTTCGGTCGCGCTAAACATACCAGAGCGCTGTATGTACCGAACTCTGTCGGCTAAGTTCTGTTATTATTATTATTATTATTGTCTGAGATACAGGTTCTATAACCTAGTTCAGACACAAGTTGTTTAAACTGATCCAAATGTACAAATGAATTTGTATCTACTTTTACTGTAATTTCCAGTGCTGAGTTTGTTACAATCATGGTTGTGCAATAAAGTTATTATGGGGGCAAAGGGATTGTTAGTAATGGAGGCTGAGAATCCCATTGCTAGCAATATACCCAACCAGGTCGACCTCGCGGTTCTCCCTGGAAACTATCATGGTTAATTCCTGATGAATTCATCATGATGAGCTAACTGGCCTGTTTTCATTTCCATCTATCAACCTTCACTGGTGCTCCGCCAGCGTATCCTGTTAGCGCAGGCGGGGTTACCATACCATTTTCACCCATCAAAAAAAATAAGTTATTATTATTATTATAATCGGTCCAATAGTTAACGTAAACAGACATACAGCTAACTTCTACATATAAATCATATAGAATGCCTGTTAGTTTTGCAAATGGAACTAGTTTTACTGCCTAGCCCCCAGTTTGCTTTATTTGTAACATGTAACTTGATTACCTAGTTTGTTTTTTTAAAGTTTCGTATGAGTACATCGGTTGGAAATAAACGTGTAAATTGCAACTTTCGTGCCTTGTTTGAGCTTATTTTCATGTAACATAGTCGGGGGAAAAGTTCAGACGAAATGTAGTTTACATTTCGTCTGAATTTACTTTACAATAAATGAAATTGGAAAATATATAAGTATACCCATAAAATATCTAGTAATATAAATAATTTTATTTTATATACAACTTAGAATGGCAAACAAGCTAACGGTCCACCTGATGGAAAGTGGTAACCGTCGCCTATAGACATGAGCAGTATCATGGACTTAACAGAGTATACTGTTTCGCCCATGATACCCCCCATGCTTTGCCATTCCTGAGGACTCAGGTGTTATTCCTCTGTACCCAGTAAATTCACGCCATATCCCACCCTCCAAACCGAAATACAGCCATGCAAACACAACTGCTTCACGGTTGAAACATGAATGGAATATATATATATATATATGTCTGTGCAGTTATCATCCAATAATTTTTTTTTATTATGTAGATAGTATAGATTTTCGTGGGTGAATTTTGAACAGCTATTAAATGACATTTTTGTTTTGTTTCAGGTTACCATGTGGCTTCATAGATGTTTTGTATATGCTGTCCATCTAGTGATATTAGTTAGTTGGTAAGTTTAATTTATTTATTATGTAATCTACCTTAATTCTATCAAACTTCTGTTTACGCAGAGATTTTAAAAATCTTTCCCTTAGGCCATAAAAATAAGGACTATTTGGGTGGGACAAATTTTCAAGTAATTTTTAATTAAAATAATCAATAGATAGATAATTTTAGCTTCTAATTTTGTAACTTTGAGAACCCTCATATCAATTTTTCTTAAATATTTCTCAAGTAAAGATACTGTCTATTTACGATTTTGTCATATTAGTAAAATAAGATTATATATATATATATATATATATATATATATATATATATATATATATATATATATATATAATTAGATATATATATGAATAGATATATAATTTATTTGCATTATTTACAGGACAAATAACAACAAACATAGATACACATACACTGTAAAAAGAAATAAAAGAATATATACCTATACAAAAAAAGCATAATACATACAAGAAGTAACAATTTCTCCCTTCATGCGTGTGCCATAGTAACATAAAATGGTCACAACTCTGTTGCAAAAAAATAATCGTGCAAAATTAAGATGGAATCATCACGTAAACTATGTATTTTATTGATTGCAAAAAAATATCAATTCATTATTAGCAAAGAGATCTCCCTTTTTGAAGTCAGTTCGACGAAAATATAATTTCATTTGATCATATAACAAGTTTTAACTTTTTGTTGAAACAAGTTTGGTTTTATTGATATGTAAAACGTATTGTTGAAACGCAATATTCTATGTATAATATTTAGGCAATATTCTATCTTGTAGCGCCACCAATTATTGGCTCGTCAAACTCGCTTCCCCGCCAAACTCCCGCGCCCGAAAAACCAACTCCAGGCGCATGCGTCGCGCGGGCTAAAAAAAGCGGGAGACAATTATTTTCTCAACATGGCTACCGTTTTTTTTTTTTGTAATTTTCATAATTTTGTAATAAAAAACAATTCAAAGCAGTGTGTACGTTTTTCTACTGGCACAAAAGAACCCTGAATAACGAAGCTAGCCGAGTTCAAATCTATACTTATAATAAATCTGTAGAGAGGTCAATTCTGTACATGATATATATTTCCAAAATAACTATCAGGGGGTGATAAGTGATCGATACTGATGTGATCGAGACTGCCAAAAATGCAATCAGTAAAATGTTTGTCTGTCTGTCTGTATATTCGTTATAGAAACTAAAACTACTAGACGGATTTTAACGAAACTTGGTACAATTATTCTTCATACTCCTGGATAGGTTATAGTATACTTTTCATCACGCTACGATCAATAGGAGCAGAGCAGTGAAGGGAAATATGTCTGTTACATCAAAACCATTGAACCGTGAGGAAGGACATAGGCTACTTATTTTACGAAAAACGACGGAAACGCGGACGAAGTCGCGGGGAACAGCTAGTCTATAATATTAACGCAATATTCTATCTATAGTACCTATTAAGATTATTACTTTTGTATATTTACTTTAAAACATGATTTAGCGAATGTTTACAGCATTAAAAGCTAAGCTAATTAACACTTCAATTAGAAATTAATGACTAACAACGGTTTTATCACGTGTATGCTATTTTATAGCGATATGCAATTGTTTCCACACTGATTATCTTACTCGTTTGTTATATTAAAGTTTTTTTTTCTTTTTTTTTTTGTTGACACCTCTGGTGTTGCAGGCGTTCATAGGCTACGGTAACAGCTTACCATCAGGTGGGCCGTATGCTTGTTTGCCATCTCAGTGGTATAAAAAAATATTTCTTCTTTCTTATGCAACCTATACCAGGACGACGGAAACGATTACTCTCAACTTTGTAGCTTATATCCTTCTCCCCAAACACTATGTGTGTACCAAGTTTTATAGAGCTAATAAACAAACTTTCACATTTACAATATTAGTAAGTATTTCGTTGATTTTGCGTATAAATGATGAAGAGCTTATGTTTGTTTGTCCAAGTGTGGTCTCGAGCGACGAGGAGCCAGCTTGGAGATGGTCGTGTGATAATGGCAAGTGCGTGAAGGTACGAAACGCAGGCGACAGCTCTGATCCAGCGCTCAGTCTGGAAGCCTGCAAGATGTTCTGCAACGAATATGGTTCGTATGACCACAGATAGTGTAATAAATACAAATTTATTATATTAGGTGTCCTCGAAATTCTCGAAGTTTCTGCTAGTGGAACCATATATTTTTTTCTCTTCTAACCGTGTCTTTTTCGCTAAAGAAACATCATTTTCCTAATCTTATCCCTAATTTATGGGGTCGGCGTTTTTCTAAAGAAATATTTGTCGAAAAATAACATGAGTATACGATGTATTCAGTTTTGAATTTAGTGTGGGATACTCGAAATTTTTTTGTTATTTATACTTCTTTGTCATTCGGTTTTACTAGCAGTTAATTCTAATGATATCAATTTTGTCCACTGGATGTTCGTATTTTATTTAATACAATAATATTCCCTTGACTATGATGATCTAGTTTTTATTTAACTTTGAATATTTTAAGCAAGCATTTTACGCTTACTAAAAATATCCATGCATCTTCTGTCTTGAATTGTAGCGGCTGTATTTATTTTCTATTGTATCTTTTATAAATATGTCAAGTATTGAAATAAATAAAAAAGGCGTTTCCATATATATCAGATTGGGAGCTTAATTGCTGAGGGATGGGTAGCAGCCTCTTAAAACATCACCAAAGCCTAACTGCGGTTGTCAACCCGCCTGTCAAGTGTGGCAACTACTGGCATAACCCCTCAACAGGCAGAGGGCTATGTTCACAAGTACACAGTTACCAGAGGGAGACTTTGTACAAAAGTCGATTGGTTGAGTACCTCTGTCCCATTCGTGTTTCTACCGTGAAGCAGTTGTGTTCCCATGGCTGTGTTTCGGTTTGAAGGGTGGGATATGGCGTGAATTTACTGGGTACAGAGGAATAACACCTGAGTCCTCAGGAATGGCAACGCATGGGGGGTATCATGAGCGAAACAGTATACTCTGTAATGTCCATGGTACTGCTCACGTCTATAGGCGACGGTTACCACTTTCCATCAGGTGGGCCGTCAGCTTGTTTGCCATTCTAAGTTGTATAAAAAAAGCTGATATGATGATTCTTTTTCTACATAGGTTGTAAATAAACATTACAAAACATTATGAAATGCGTTAACAAAATGCATTAAAAAAATTAATCGTAGTGCTCCATGCAGATATGTGGGCCATGTTAATATTTCATAATACTTGATCAAACCCATCAATAGTAACAGTTTCAACATATTTTGATACATCTGTGACCTTTTTCTTGGTTTATTGTTTTAATCGTTCGTTGCTTCACGTTTTTTTTTGTTTTTTTTTTTTAAATTGTTTTCGTAATGTTTATCTCGGAAATTAATTATTGTCACGAATTGGCAGGTCTCCTTTGGCCAAGACCCACGGGTGATATTGACCTCGGGAACTTTTTGTCCAAAATAAACATGGACCATATTAAAATAAACACGTTGAGTCGTGGTGCGACCGATGACCTCATGGAAGCGGCGACAAAGGTATGCAGTTTCAACATGTATATTTTAAATGCAATTCCTGCGTTTCTTAAATATTATTTTACATGTTCCATCTCCGTGGCGCAGTGGTGAGCACATTGCTTTCAATGAATCAGGTGGCAGGTTCGATTCTAGGTTGGGCCAATTTAGGCAACGAACTTTTTGATTCTCTATTATTATTGATATATTTATTATAAAATTTTAATGATTAATTAATATTTTGGGATATTTTTTACATTCTATTTATGTACATACTATCATTCTAGGTAAATGCGGTCTCGAGTTCAATTCTTAGTCGGGCCGATTTAGAAAACTATTTTTTATAAACTGGTTTGTGTGTTACGTTCTCATTAGTGTACACATGAGAAAGAACAAGACAATGGTTATTGCTGTCTCGTTCTATCTTGTGCTTGCGGTAGCGATATCATGTCTATCGATAGTCACTTGTCTAAATGGGCTGGATCGGTTATCTAGTAATTTCTGGTAACATATGATACTTTGGCTTGAGGTCGAAGTTAGAAAGTTTGGATGGTGTTTTATATGTAGGCATCCGATTAATAGTATTATGTATGGAGTAATATATGAATATATTTCGTCCCTGTGGTCCCAGCATAGAATAGGCCACCCCTTCTTATTCAGTTGGTGTCGTAAGCGGCGACTAGGGAGCTTATGATGGAGCGATGGATGGGTAGTAGCGTCCCTCTTAAAACATCTCTAAAATCCTAACTGCGGTTGCCAACTCTGCCATGTGTGGCAACTACAGGCAAAACTCTCCTTATGGGGAAGGCTTATGTTCAGCTGTGGACAGTTAACGGCTGAAATATATATATATATATATATATATATATATATATATATATATATATATATATATATATATATATATATATATATATATATATATAAAATGCGATCATTATCCAGTGCATTGTATATTAGATTTTGTTTGTCTGTAATTCGGTATTGTACGATTTATCTGTTTACGCCCACGGTATCCGCCTTCCGTACCTACTCGTATTGGTTTCAAAACTATAATACTACTTTGATACTCTGTAGCGCGTCAGGGATGTTCGCCGAGCATCGTGTAGATTGTTTTTATGCCACGATGCGAAAAAGGTGTGCATCCCTGGTGCGCAGAGTACGTGCCAGCGCCAACAGCATCCTGAGTATGATAGCAAGCAGGCTAGACTGTGTGTACGTCGGTCACTGCTGCGCAATTTCCGATGGAATTGTGCAGCGGTGATTATCTGCATATTATTTAATATATGTGTGTGTGTGTGTATTGTGTATGTAAATTTACTAACATTAGTTTTTAAGAATACTGTTACTAATAAATATTTAATGGACCAAAAAAGTCCGAAATTTTTTTTTTTATTTAATTTGTTATATCTCTCATTTAGAGGTAGTTCTAGACACGGGCCAAAGCCAAGTGTTTTTGGAATGTCAGCTCAATGATAGGAACTTACGGACCAGGCGACATGTATTTAAAATTGCTGCTTTTTGGAGGAGTATATATGTGGAGGGTTTTATACATAATGTATGGAGAGTTGTGTGTAAGGTTTTCGGGATAACACCCGTTGTATGTAGATAAAACTATTGGTATTGTTTTTACTGTATGAACTCGCCATTGGGATTTTATTTCTATAGAAAGATCTGTGTATTTAGCTAGTTTTTATTATTATTAATTCAATTTAAACTTGTTCTTTTTTACAGAGATTCCAAAAACAAATCTCCCTGGCTGCACCGAAAGGGGCCACATTGAAATTAACTGGAAAATCTGTGTCCATAAATCTTATTAATGAACAGCCCAATTTGCGAGGTTCGTCATGTTATATTTAGAGTTATACGATATGTAAATTTATATATTTTATTTATTTAAAGGAACACCAACAGCATATTGCATTTTTTTTAATGGGTGATAATGGTATGGTAACCCCGCCTGCGCTAACGGGATACGCCGGCGGGGCACCAGTGAAAGATGATAGGTGAGGATGAAGCAGGTCAGTTGGCCCATCGTGACCACTTCAACAAGAATTGTTCACAATGGTTTCCACGGGGAACCACGTGGAGGTCGACCTAATAGGGCATATTGCTAGCAATGGGGCTGTCAAACTCCATTGCTAACAATCCCTTTCCCCCAGCATATTGCATTTTTTTTATGGGTGAAAATGGTATAGTAACGCCGCCTGCGCTAACGGGATACGCTGGCGGAGCATCAGTGAAGGGTGATAGATGAGAATGAAAACAGGCCAGTTAGCCCATCATGATGAATTCATTAGGAATTAACCATGATAGTTTCCAGGGGGAACCGCGAGCAGGTCGACCTGGTTGGGTATATTGCTAGCAATGGGATTCTCAGTCTCCATTACTAACAATCCCTTTCCCCCCAGCATATTGCATTATAACACACATATATAACAAACATTAAATACAATACAATATTAATGCACATGCCTATTGAAGGTATTATAGGTATAGGTAGGTTAAATAATTAAATGAGATTATATATAATTAGATAGATTAGATATATAATTTATGTGAATTGCTTAGGGCACACAAATAACAACAGACATGTCTATGCCTTTATACACATACACAGTTAAAAAAAGAATACATATACGTGTTTTTTTTTTTTTTTTTGGGAAATATAGTTGGGTTTCCTGGTGGAATTCATATTGACCACTAAACGTGTTTTGAATGGAACATTATTACAGAAATATTGTACTTGCAGAGTTCTCTCTGGACATGGACGAGGGTTATGATCTGAGGATTGCAGCGGCCGCGAAGGACCAGATCAACGCCACTGTCACCGCGAGAACTTTCTTCGGTCTCCGTCACGGGCTGGAAACGCTTTCTCAGCTATTTGTCTATGACGATCTTAGGGACCATATGTTGGTGAGTGGGCATGTTTGTTTTTATTTAACATTCATTACTTCCAGAAACTATTACGCGATTTTTTTATCATTTTATCAGAGATTTTTAGAAAATTATTTTATTTTTAAGTTTTCATAGGGAGAATTCATTTTCATTCAGAGGGAGACTTTGTACAAAAGTCGATTGCTTGGATCCTCTGTCCCATTCGTGTTTCTACCGTGAAGCAGTTGTGTTTACGTGGCTGTGTTTCGGCTTGAAGGATGGGATATGGCGTGAATTTACAGGGTACAGAGGAATAACACCTGAGTCCTCAGGAATAGCAACGCATGGATGGTATCATGGGCGAAACAGTATACTCTGTTATGTCCATGGCACTGCTCATGTCTATAGGCGACGGTTACCACTTTCCATCAGGTGGGCCGTTAGCTTGTTTGCCATTTTAAGTTGTATAAAAAATACTTTACCGAGAGAAATATTAAAAAAAATGCTTGGGTGGAATTGACCTATATTATATGTGTATAGCTTATCTTATACGTAAGGGTCTCCTAGGGTACTCTATGTTGACCACAGTGCCACAGAATAGAGATCTCCATGCTGTTTATATCTGTAATCGACAATTACTGCTATCGATCAAGTGGGCCGTCAATTTGTTTGCCATACAATGTTGCATAAAAACCGTTTATAAATTGTCTATGGAAATTATGTAATAAATCCATTTCGTAACATGACTAATGTGTCCATTGATAACGTTTGTGTGTTTATATTGTGAAGTGTACACCTCGAATGGCACGATGTGGTATTGAAGACGAGAATAAATCGATAATAACCGGTTCCAGTCCGTTAACCTTCCAGAAGGCATTTGATTTGCATAACAGGCACATTATGACACGAGATTTGTAATCTTATTACTGTGGTCAACGTACTTTGGGTGCTTAAATACGAGTATATGATTTGCATATAATAAATATATTTTTAAATTCGATATCAGATTGTATATTTATCTACAGGAGAGGCAAAAAAGTTTATCTCTCTCGAAGAATGCCTTAGCATGTCTTTTTTTTTTTTATAAAATGCTTTAGGTCTTATTCGACTGTATTTTTTTTTTTATGGAATATGGTATGAGCTTAGGTTACGAGGTGTCTTTACCAAGTTTAAAGTTATACTCAGAATTCTTATTTAAGGGAAAATGAAAATTTAGCGCCCGTTTTGAATCCGTATTAATGTTACGTTTAAAATATAATATTAATTTACAATGTTCGAATGTGGTCTATTCTTGATGCTAGATTCTATATGTGAAATGTGTAACAGTGTCCTACATAGGCTGTACCGACCTTCACCAAATTGAGTGTGCTTTCATACTTTCAAAAAATGTTGTATTGAACTCAGTTTATTAAGTACTGGAGGTCGAAATTCGACCGTAACATTTGTTATAATAAATTAATTTATTATGTTTATGTTTGATATTCAGTAAGAGAGTAGGACCAGAGGGAAACTTTGTATAAAAGTCGATTGCTTGGGTACCTCTGTCCCATCCGTGTTTCTACCGTGAAGCAGTTGTGTTTGCATGGCTGTGTTTCGGTTTGAAGGGTGGGATATGACGTGAATTTGCTGGGTACAGAGGAATAACACCTGAGTCCTCAGGAATGGCAATGCATGGTATACTCTGTTATGTCCATGGTATCATGGGCGAAACAGTATACTCTGTTATATCCATGGTACTGCTCATGTCTATAAGCGACGGTTACCACTTTCCATCAGGTGGACCGTCAGCTTGTTTGCCATTCTAAGTTGTATAAAAAAAAGCAGGTCAGTTAGCCCATCGTGATGAATCCACCTGGAATTCAGCACGATGGTTTCCAGGGAGGACCACGTGGAGGTCGACCTGGTTGGTCATATTGTTAACAGTGGGACTGGTAGTCCGCATTATTAACAATCCCCCCTCCCGATGCCAATATAGTATCTGGTATAGAATAGGCCACCGCTTTCTTCCCCGTGACTATAGTAAGAGGCAACTAAGGCAGCTTAAGGTGGAGGGATGGACAGCAGCGTCCCTCTTAAAACATCACGAAAGTCTAACTGCGGTGGCTAACTCGCTTGTCAAGCGTGGTAGCTTCTCGCAAACCTTACTCTTTTGGGGAAGCGTATGTTCAGCAGTGGACTGCTGGCGTGATGCTGATGATGATTTCTCCATACAGCTCGTCCGTGACGTGAACATCAGTGACAAGCCAGTGTACCCGTACAGAGGGATCCTGCTGGACACAGCGAGGAACTATTACTCAGTGGATTCTATCAAAAGGACTATTGGTAAGATTTACTCTTTTATTTGTTCTTATTTTACTCTGTTATGTCCATGGTACTACTCGTGTCTATAGGCGATGGTTTTTTTTATGGATGGTAATGAAATGGTAACCCCGCCTGCGCTATCGGTATACACTGGCGGGGCACCAGTGAGGGATGATAGGTAAGGATAAAAAGGCAGGTCAGTTAGTCCATTGTGACGAATTTGACGATAATTAATCACGATAGTTTCCAAGGGGAACCGCGTGAAGGTCGACCTGACAGAGTTTATTGCTAGCAATTGGGATTATCGTCTTGATTAATAACATTTACAGGCGACGGTTACCACTTTCCATCAGGTGGCTGTCAGCTTGTTTGCAATTCTTTACACAAAAAAAATTATGTCCTGCAGATGCGATGGCCCTGGTGAAACTTAATACATTCCATTGGCACATTACGGACAGCCAAAGCTTCCCCTTCGTGTCTGACAGGCGTCCCAACTTGTCCAAGCTTGGGGTTTTGAATCCCAAGAAGGTATGTATCAATATTGTAACCGACTATAAACTGCTTTTACGTACTATTATCTATATTTTATTGTTACAATTTTTACTTGTTCAAATTGTTTGTTTTATTTTCAACCGACTTCAAAAAAGAGGTTGTATTTTTTATGTTTATTTCAGTAATATTCAGTAAAGTAGATTAGATTGTATGATAGAGTATCTCCATAGTGCAATGCATCGAAAAAAATGTGTCAACATATTCATACAATTTTGCGTGAATTATGAATAATTCCTTTTTTACTTCTATATTTATTTTGTTTTATAATTTCTGCATTTTTTAATGCGTAAACACTCACTTTATTTATTAAATAATCCGCCAAGATATAATACATTGTATGCGTAAGTATATAGAATACCTGATAAAAACAATTTGACAATTAGCTGACAAAAAGTTGACCCGATTTTAAGGTTCGATGCTCTATCTATATAAGCTAAGAATATATATGCTAATCGATAGTTTCCGACCGTCGAAGTAAATGATTGGAGAAGAGGGGCCTTTCATGTATATGTTGGCATTATAATCTATGGTTACCATCTATGGCGTAACGTGTAACCGACACGGCTTTATCGATTTATTGATTTTAAACCGTGAAGCGGTAAAGCATACTTTTCGTTAGATTCGTTTTTAAATGAAACATTTTTTTTATGACATTTTTAATGACTTTATCTGTGCTTATTGTTCGTGTGTATGTAGAAGGTATTTATATTAGGCGTTATTTTAACCAATTCTGAATCTATTTTGAAAATTTTCTTTTAAAAAGATAGTGTTGGTTCTATTTTAATTTTTTTTTTATATTTGTATCCAAAATTTTTACACAAGCAACAAATAAAATTCGCTATTTTAATGTATAATCATCATTAACTGTCAAAAAGTTTAAAATTTTTGATTTTTTTTATATTGTATAAAAACAATCAATATTAATAAAAAGATTATTTGAAGGTATACACCAAGAGGGAGATCAGTGAAGTTGTTAAATACGGCCTGGAGCGAGGCGTCAGGGTGTTGCCAGAGTTCGATGCGCCTGCGCACGTCGGCGAGGGCTGGCAGGACACTAACCTTACCGTTTGCTTTAAGGTAAGAATATTTATAACAGACTGCAAATAAATTTACCTCCACATACTTAATGTGTATCGATAATAACTTGGTTACTTTATTACGGACTAAAACTCGGTCGCTGTATCTTAATATAAAAGTATTTGAAAAGTGAAGTCATAAAATATCAAGTTTACTTAAAATAATGTTTGTGACATAAGTTAAAGTAAAAACGAGAATGAATTTAAATTAAAGGTATGTGTAAAAAACGGTTAAGTTTAAAATGTTTAGTTTACTAATGGCATTATGACAATTATTTTGTTAGAAAACTGCATTAATTTTTTCTAGCATTCTACAGGTGTTTTTTTTTTGATGGGTAAAAATGGTATGGTAACCCCGCCTGCGCTAACGGTATACGCTGGCGGAGCATCAGTGAACGGTGATAGATGAGAATGAAATGCAGGTGTATTTACATATGCGTATTAAGTGGCAGGACAGGAGCCCACCTCAGAATTGTCTAGTGCCCACCCAGAAGTTTCCTGTTATGAGTAGTGAAAATCACTGTAATAGTTCGATTTAAAATTTTAATTTTATTATGCTATTTAGAATGGCAAACAAGCTATTGACCCATTTGATGGAAAGTGGTGACCGTCGCCTATAGCCTGTGGACATGAATAACACCATAAGTACGATAATTCTAAAATTGTTGTTTTCTCTTGTACTAATAAACTGGCGTTAATATTTTTACTTACAAACATAGACTTTACCAGAGGGAGACTTTGTACAAAAGTCGATTGCTTGGGTACCTTTGTCCCATTCGTGTTTCTACCGTGAAGCAGTTGTGTTTGTATGGCTGTGTTTCAGTTTGAAGGGTGGGATATGGCGTGAATTTACAGGGTACAGAGGAATAACATCTGAGTCCTCAGGAATGGCAACGTATGGGGGGTATCATGTGCGAAACAGTATACTCTATTATGACCATGGTACTGCTCATATCTAAAGGCGACGGTTACCACTTTCCATCAGGTGGGCCGTTAGCTTGTTTGCCATTCTAAGTTGTATAATATATATATATATATATATATATATAAATACCTAATTATATTCTCTCTAACTGCATTGGGTTGGTTGGAAGAGATCTCTTTTAGAGATAAGCCTACCTTTGCTAACAAGTTATTAAATTAATCGCTGTATCTTTTTTTCAAGTACAATAAAAAATATATATTTATATATGTATCACATCTCCATATTTAGAACTGACAGAATTTTTCATCGTGCCTCCCATCAAATTGTTTATAATTACTCTTCTCCATCCAAAGGTTGCCTGGAAGAGATCGCTCTTAGCGATAAGGTCGCCCATTGTTTTCTCATTGTGATTATTTCTTGTAATTGTTTGTATCTTTATAGATAAAAACTTATTATTAAGTTTACTATTGTAATCTTTTGGAGGAAACAATAAAGAGTGTCTATCTATCTATCTATCTATCTATCTATATTACCTATGGAATGAACTTGGTAGCGTTGCATATGTTAAAATTTCAAAAAAATTTCAAAATTCAAAAATCATTTATTCATGTACAGTTATTCGAATACATTTCAATAATGGTTTTGTTTGTCAGGCCGAGCCTTGGAAGCATTATTGTGTGGAGCCACCTTGCGGCCAACTGAACCCCACCAGGGAAGAATTGTATGACTACTTGGAGGACATATACACTGATATGGCCGGTAAGATTAGCAGATGGAGACTTTGTACAAGTCGTTTGCTTGGGCACCTCTATTACATTCGTGTTTTTACCGTTAAGCAGTTTTTTCTTTTTAATGGATGATAATGGAATGGTAAGCCCGCCTGCGCAAACGGTAAACCAATCACCCCTCACTGGTGCCCCGCCATAATTGGTGAAAATGAAAAGGCAGGTCAGTTAGCCCATCGTGATGAATACACCAAGTATTCAGCACGATGGTTTCCAGGGAGTACCATGTGGAGGTCGATCTTATAGGGCATATTGCTAGCAATGGGACTGATAGTCCGCATTGCTAACAATCTCTTCCCCCCTCCCCCCCACCGTGAAGCAGTTGTGTTTACATAGCTGTTTCGGTTTGAAGGGTGGGATATGGCACTGGCTTTACAGGGTACTCGGGAATGGCAACGCATGGGGGGTATCATGGTCGAAACAGTATACTCTGTTATGTCCATGGTACTGCTCATATCTATAGGCGACGGTTACCACTTTACAACAGGTGGGCCGTCAGCTTGTTTACCATTCTAAGTTGTATAAAAAAAAATATTGGCTAATGTATGGTGTTAGAACAGGTGTAAGCCTGGTTTCGGTCTTACCACCACCTTACTGGAGGAATAATTAAATGGGACAGATAAAAGAAACACTAGGTGTCATGTCGTATAGAGAGGTCAAGGATATGGCCTGGGATAGAGCTGGCTGGAAGATGCATGAATTATTTGCACCGACAAGAGTGCACCCTTATTCTAGGATAAATGAAAAGAAGAATGTATGGTGTAAATATATTTTTAATTATTCTAGATATAAGTTGTTGATTCCAGATGTAATATTAAAATAAAAAAATTGCCGAATGGATGCATGACTTCAGAACGGTTGCACCTATTCGGTGAATTCTTTTTTGTTGTATATCCAATTGTCAAGACAAGGTTTGTATGAAAGAAATTGCATATTCCTGCAGACGTATTCCAGCCGGACATGTTCCACATGGGCGGGGACGAGGTGAGCGAGAAGTGCTGGAACTCCTCGGAAGAGATTCAGCAGTTCATGGTGCAGAATAGGTGGGACCTCGACAAGTCCTCGTTTTTGAAACTGTGGAACTATTTCCAGACGAAGGCACAGGAGAAAGCTTATAAGGTGAATAATTTTTAGTCGTCATCTTCTTGCCTTTATCCCAATTTTTTTATACAACTTAAAATGGCAAACAAGCTGGCGGCCCACCTGATGGAAAGTGGTAACCGTCGCCTATAGACATGAGCAGTATCATGGGACATAACAGAGTATACGTTGTTACGTCATGTTATTCCTCTGTACCCAGTAAATTCACGCCATATCCCACCCTTAAACCGAAACACAGCCATGCAAACACAACTGCTTTACGGTTGAAACACGAATGGGATAGAGGTGCCCAAGCAAACGACTTTTGTACGAAGTCTCTCTCTGGTAAATTATTATTTGGGGTCGGCGTAATATGATTTTATTCATATTACACAAAGATTCGGCTTTTGGTCTTGTGATCGGCCGCATACTTGATGTCAACCTTCCTTGAGAATGCATTTGTTGGTCATATCCATCACCTACCGCATTCAGAAAAGGATTGAGGAAAAAGAAGGCGACGTAGGGAGTAAGTAAAGGAAGTTGGTAAAAAAGAAGTGAGAGATTAATGGGGGAAAAGGGAATATTGCAGTTGTGGAGGAATTACTGGTCAGAAACTGCAGTGGCTCGGAAGACCAGGGTCGTATATCTGAGTACCCTTATTCTAGGATCAGACAGATCACTAGAGGAGATCACCCGAGGCACGATTTATTTTAATATATTTAATATAGTGTATTTGTTGATTTCAACACATACGTGACTCAAATATATTGATTACTCATACTAAATCTTGAGACCTGAAAATTTTCAGTTGTTGAATACTCAGTTATTTTTTTTTTATAATTATTTATAATATATATATATATTTTGTTATACTGAAAGGCTTTCGGCAAGAAACTCCCGCTTATACTGTGGACCAGTACCCTCACTGACTACGCTCACGTCGAGAATTACTTGGACAAAGACGACTACATTATTCAATTAAGTTATTTGACAATATCTTTATAATATTATATATTTTTGTTCTGAAAGGCTTTCGGCAAGAAACTTGCTTATACTGTGGACCAGTACCCTCACTGACTACGCTCACGTCGAGAATTACTTGGACAAAGACGACTACATTATTCAAGTAAGTTAATGACAATATCGTAGAATATGTTCTGAGGAATTGTTCGGACTGATACTTGCTGCTGATTGATGTGGCGGGATTCAATTGAAAAAATTGGGATGAATCCCAATCATCTGGACGAGTGGCGGTCTTCCACCGTGCGTTTTTCAAGGCACTTTCTCCCATGCACAACCATTTTTTGGAATCAACTTCCAGCAGCAGTATTTCCGAACCGATACGACAACATAACCTTCAAGAAAAGAGTATATTCCTTTTTAAAAGGCCGGCAGCACACCTGCAATGCCGCTAGTGTTGTGGGTGATCATGGGCGGCGGTAGTCACTTACCATTAGGTGAGCCGCATGCTCGTTTGCCCCCTGAGTTGTAAAAAAAAAACATTTGTGGTATAGAAAATGCAAATTAATCTAAATTCTATTAATGACTAGCGACCCGTCCCGGCTTCGCACGGGTGCAATGCCGCACCGCTATGTCCCTTCATTTTAAATCTGTAATATCTTAGGAAATATTCATTTAAATTACATGCTCTAAAGGGCCATATTAATCTATATTCAATGTACAATGTATTTAAGGTACTTAATTGGATTAAAATTAATGCTGTATTGCTTAAAATCACTTCGTAAATAAGCCATTTTTATCCCGTAAAATGTAAAAGGTGGGACTTTTTTTGTTGACCTTTTTAAGGTGTACAATACTGTAGTACATTATTTTGATTTATCTCGTTTAATTCAGCCACTGTTTGCAATGTAAGCGCAAAAAAATATGTTTATTTACATCACGTTAGAAACCTCTAAATTTATCAGTGTTTCTCTACAATATTATGCATGTATTATACATATAAACCTTCCTCTTGAGTCGCTCTATCTAACCGCTTCAAATTCCGTTGCGTAGTTTTAAAGATTTAAGCATACATAGGGACGGACAGGCAGCGACAGCGACTTTGTTTTATACTATGTAGTGATTATATTTCAGGTATGGACCACAGGCGTGGATCCCCAAATTAAGGGTTTACTAAAGAAAGGCTACCGTTTGATTATGTCCAACTACGACGCCCTGTACTTCGACTGCGGGTTCGGTGCTTGGGTTGGAAGTGGTACGTTATTTATAATTTTTAGCTTAGATAGATAGTGTCTCCATACAAATGTTTCATCAAATACAGGCCAACTTTTTTTTATGTGTGCTATGTTGTATGGTAAAATAGGGATACACTGGCGGAACACCAGTGAAGGGTGATAGGTGAGAATGAAAACACCATATCATGTATATTTAACATGATAGTTTCCAGGGGGAACTCACCTGGTTGGGTATATTCCAATCATTTTATTATTAATTATTTATATTACTACTCAATATATTTCCATATTATTATTAATTATTTATATTCCCATATACTGAGTAGTAATTTATATTGTAAGGTTAAATTTAAAAATAAAAATGATTAAAAATTTTAACGAACATATTTGAAAGAACTTAGTGCATAAGTGTATAATGATTTGTAATGATGATGGTTTAATAAAAATGTATTGGTCTGGGAAATTTTTATTTTAATTACTAGCAACACTGAAGATATTACGTGTTGTGATTTAAAAAAATATTTCATTGGGTAAGCCAAATTTTTTATACTTTGTAACATTCAGTTTTTAATATTAATTAACATCGACAGGGAGTTTACCCCTTTAACTTAAAGCCTAGATGGTCGCGTACAGCGTGATTTCAGAGATATTTTCTCCTACGAACGTTCAGATTATAGAATGAGCTCCTTGTCTTGAATACTTCCTTCTTCTCATGAGGTTTTTCCAAGTGACGACAGCATGGGTTTCTTAAAAAAAAAAGGGATAAAGAGGTTTCTTCAGGGTCGGCAACGCGCACGTAATACCTCTGGTATTGCAGGCGTTCTTACGCTACGGTAACCGCTATTAAAAAATTTAAACTATGCTAATTGCTAATATATACAAATTTTATTTTTAACGGCAGGTAACAACTGGTGTTCTCCATACATCGGATGGCAGAAAGTGTATGATAACAGTCCCGCGGTTATTGCTCTGGAACACAAGGATCAAATTCTTGGTATGTATTGATTTACATTAATTTATATTGTTGACATTCTGGAAATATTGTAATGTACTCGTATTTTATATTTTTATAGTGCGGTATGGAGTAACCGGCATATTAAAATTATATATTTTAATTATGAAAATATGTACCTATCGTGATACAATTTCAGTGACTGGATAATATTGTAACAGATCCTTAGACTATTTCTAAATTGAAAGAAGTGTTGTCCTCCTCTCTCCTACTTGCTGTGCCCAACAGGCACATGTTATCCATTATATTATGAAATGAAATAAATAAATAAATAAATACTAATTATATTATTTGTTTGTTGGAATGCAATAAAGTTTAAGGTTTAAAAATAAAAATAAATATATAAAAAAATAATTGTTTTATAAAATTTATAGATGATGGATATTTGGGTAGGGTCGTTGTAATATATTCACTTATCTCTTGTTTTTGTTACATTGGATCTTTAAATAATGATGACCATCATTTGTCTTCTTTGCTGCGTACTTAAAGACTTGAATATTTTTGGTTTGCAGCATAGACTAAGTATAACTACATACTGTTTGCAGTGTGTAACCATAAAATATACTGTTAAATTGCAGCGAAAATGATCGTCTATGGTCACCATAAAGAAAATCTGTGTAGTGATTAGGTATTACTACTATTAATGTGAGAGTGTCACTTTCTGGTGACATAAGTTTCTAAGCTACCATTGCTAAATATCCATAATTTGGTATTGAACTGACGTGAGGGTACGGTTTCCTGGCAGGCGGGGAGGCAGCTCTGTGGTCGGAGCAGTCGGACAGCGCGACGCTGGACGGCCGCCTGTGGCCGCGAGCCGCCGCCCTCGCCGAGCGGCTGTGGGCCGAGCCCGCCGCCACCTGGCAGGACGCCGAGTACCGCATGCTGCACACCAGGTACGGTACACTTGTTGAGCGGCTGTGGGCTGAGCACAAGTTGTAGTAATTATATAGTTAATTGATTTATTTTAGAGGCAATTAATAAATTATGATATTGTCCGTGTGATGATTCTGGGACATTGTGAAAGGCAATGAAAGGAATAAGCCACCATGTTTAGTGTAAGAGAAAGAAACCTCAAACCTATATGCCTCGATCAAGCTGGCTAGTGTAGAAATACTGAGCTATTTTATTATTTTTAGATACTGGCAGTAGACAAATGTTTTTTTTTCAGGGAGCGTTTAATACGCATGGACATTCAAGCAGAGTCCCTCCAGCCAGAATGGTGCTACCAGAACGAAGGATACTGTTACAACTGATGGTCCTTTCAGCTCAGCAGTGACAACTCCCGCCGTCACACTGGGCAAACGGGGCACAGTGTTCGATTCCCAGCGCAAGCGCCTCTTGTTGCCATCTGTGCCATCCTTTATCGAAGGAATACCGCAATAATGTAAAGTGCTTTTTGAAACAAAATTATGAGTCACTGTGATTAATATAGATCTATAAGTTATCTTTGTAATTAGATGCACTCGTTAGGAAAGTGATTTTTATAATATATATATATATACACTATGTTAAATAACTTAAGGTGTTTTCGTTAATCTCGTGTACTATAAGCTCTATCTATGGTAGCATCTAAACGTAATCTATACGTTTAGATGCTACCATAGACAAGATTCACGTCTCATTTTAGTTTTTATCACCCGATTCATGAGTGGACTTAATACTAAAAGTTCTAATCAACTTATACTACAGTAATTCTACTGTTAGATTAATTTTAATTTTTCTAATATTTAAAAAGATTTCTAACATTCAAACTTTTACGAACCAGTGATGTAAGTTAGTTCTTAATATATTTATTATGGTCTAACGATAACGCCCTTGTTTAATTAACATACTTTATGTTTGGTGAACCGGAGTGACATTACATGACATAAATAATTCAAACACAGAGTAGTCATGGTATAAAATGGCTACAGGAATATTTAGGTACCTTACGATTATATAGATAGTGTCTCTTTAGAAATACTTCGAAAAAAGCGGGTTAAATTTTTCATAGTTTTGTGTGATAAATACATAGTTATAAGTGATTCCTTTATAACTTCTATATTTATTTTGTCTTATAATTTCTGCATTATTTTAATGCTTAGACACTCATTTTATTTATTAAATAATCCGTCAAGATACATTTTATACGTAAGTATATAGAACACTGATAAAAAACGAGTCAGCTAATTTGACAAATAGCTGTCAAAAAGTTGAACCGTTTTTTGAGGCTGGATGCTGTATCTATATAATCTAAGATAGGCACTTTACTGGTTGGTTATCAAACTTAAATCGTCTATTCTTTTTAATTGGAATTAAACACTGCCATGTTGTATTTATAATTTACTCATGAACAAAATTTGAGAACACCAATTAGAATAAGAGTAATAATGTATTAATAAGTAGTTTTTGGTCCATGAAAAAACATCGATTTTAAATTATGGCAAACCTTGTTATTTTGGTTTAAAAACTAAACTACTCAACCGATTTTTATCAAATGTCTGTGGGACCAATCTGAAAGTATATTGTTTCAGATAAGATTTCCCAAGTGACCTTCTTTTTTTTGGAATCGGTTGAAAATAGGTTTTACTATGTGTTTGTGTTATGTACTCCAGCTCACCAAATTGTCAAATAATCGTCCCATATAATTTATTTACAATTTGAGTCACAACTTTTTGAATCTATATCACGTTCTATTTTTTATAGTGATTGTAGTAGAAATGTTTTGAATCAATTGTGTGTCTTTTAATTATGAATATAGAAAATGAAAAAAAAGTGAGTTACGTGTCTTATTTTACCTGAACTGTAACATGTGATAGGGTATCAGGTCGACCTCCACGCGGTTCCCTCTGGTAACCATCGTGATTGATTCATTAGTGAATTTGTCACGATGGACTAGCTGCCCTGCTTCATCGTCACTTATCATCCATCACTGGTGTCCCGCCAGTGTAAACCGATAGTGCAGGGTGGGTACCATTCCATTATCATCCATTAAAAAAATATATAGAATATACGGCATATAAGGCTCGATCCACACTATAACGCCTGGTAAAATATTATTACATACTAGTTGTATACCGCGGGTTTATCCGCGTAAAACAATATATAACATATCCTATGTGCAAAGTTATGCTATAACCCATCCGTTTACTATATTTCATTCAAATTCGTTTGCTAGTTTTCCTATGAAAGAGTAACACACCTCAGATCAAAGGGAGACTGTACAAAAGTCAGCTTGGGCACCTCTGTTTCATTCGTGTTTCTACCGTGTTGCATTGTGTTTGGCTGTGTTTCGGTTTGAAGGGTGGGATATGACAGTGAATTTACAGGGTACAAAGGAATCACACCTGAGTTCTCAGGAATGGCAACGCATGTGGGGTATCATGGAAGAGAGAGTATTCTCTGTTATGTTTATGGTACTGTTCATGTCTATAGGCGGCGGTTACCACTTTCCATCAGGTGGGCCGTCAGCTTGTTTGCCATTTTAAGTTGCATAAAAAAAAAATACCCATCCATTCATGCATCGTTACAAACTTTCACATACAGCCTTTAACTGTCCACTGCTGAACATGAACCTCTACCTTGGGGGATTTTGCTAGTAGCTACCACGCTTGGCAGGCGGATTGGCAGCCGCAGTTAGGTTTTGGTGATGTTTTAAGATAGACGCTGCTTTTTTTTATAGGTAATAAAGAAATAGTAACCCCACCCGCGGTATCGGTATACACCGGCGTGGTATCAGTGAATCATGATAGATGAGGATGAAGCAGGTCAGTTAGCCCATCGTGACGAATTCAACGAGAATTGTTCACGATGGTTTCCAGGGGGAACCACGTGGAGGTTGACCTGATATTGCTAGCAATGGGGCTGTCATACTCCATTGGTAACAATCCTTTTACCCCAGAGAGACGCTGCTGTCCATCCTTCTACCTCAAGCTCCCTCAATCGCCTCTTACGACACCCACGAGGACACGCGAGGACCGCACAGCATTTAGTACATTAATAGGATACAAACAATGTCGCAGTGTATTTAAAAGTTTATTTAAAATTTTGAATAAAGTTCAAACTGTAATTCTAATCTGATTTACGATTATAGACAGAGAACTATTATCCTTGATCTATGTTTGATTCCGATTTTTTCAAAAATATTTTTTTTTAGATATTGAAAATTGTTACAATAGTTAATAGAAATATTGCTATTCGTATAGTATCGGCTTTTTCTTCGGCGGCACCAAAAATTTGCAAACAAAGTTCAAGAACTTTATGTTAACCTTATATATTGATGAATATACCTCGATTCTCAATATGGACCATTTTACTTTTTATTATACAACAATTTTGTTGAATTATTTATATTATTATGTATTTTTTCGATTTAGGAGTATAAAAAGGTATTTGCTATCATCAGATCGCTATAAAATCATGTCAGATTTATGCGATAGCGATATTACATACAAGGTAAGACTTAGGGACATTTAGCGGATTTTTGTTATTTTTCTCTATAAGTATCCGCTTTTATGAGATTATCTAGGGACTTTTAATTTTGTAAAACGGCAACACTGATTGTGTGTCAGTTGTCAATGTCACTTGGATATATTTATGTATGTTTTGCTTCTCTGTCATTTTTTATTTACAGTTTTTGCGTGCTTTGTTGTTTATTCGTGATTTATTCTTGAATAAAATAAATCGTTCAAGATGAACTGCTGTGAGAATATTTCAATGCCGAGTTGTGTTTGGTTTGAGAGCGGAGAAAAACGTAATATCTTGGCGTCGATCTTCGCAGGATTGTTGGTTTGTGGCTTTTCTATATTGATGATTCATACATTTGTTCTAATTGCATATTTTTAGTTAAAAGTCAAATATGATCGTCTTAGAAATCATTTCTTATAATAAAATAAATTTCAAGATGATCCACCGCTGTGAGAATATTAATAAATGGAATAAAGTTGTGTTTGGTTTGAGAGCACAATTGAAATGTTCCGTATGATTACGTGATAATGGCGTCGACATTTGATGTAATTGTTAATTAACAAACTATTTTCAATTTTTTAATGATGATTCATACATTTTTTTGTTCTAATTGCATATTTTTAGTTTAAAGTCAAATATGATCGTTTTAGAAATAATTTCTTATAATAAAATTGACATTTAAACCGATCGATCAACTTCAAAAAATATTAAATATTAGAGAAGCTGGAATAAACATGATTGTCTTCAGTTTCCCAGATGATATTGTCCAATCACAATTGAAAAAATGTTCCGTCCATGGATTGATAAAAATTGAAAAGCACATTTGTTTTTATCGTTTAATTAACAAATATTATTTAATTTGAATTTAATGAAGATTGACATCAATTTTTTTTTCCCAAATAATAAATATAAATTGTTAAAATCTTTTTGCGTCAATCTAGTTAGGGGGGGGGGGGGTACTTAGTTACAATGTATCTGTTGTCAGGTAATATCATTGACAATTTATGACTTAGTCAGTAGGTACCCTTAGAACCAACAGAAATAACAATTTAACTCAATTGTGGGGTAATTTTTTAACAGACTTAAAAAAAATAAGGACATTCTTAATTAATTTTTTTTTGTTACTTTAGAATTCGATCTAGAAACCTATTTGGAAATATTTTTTTTCTAATAAAAAAATATTTCTGATTTATTTATCCTAAAGAAATAAAAAAAAAATTAGTTGAGTAGTTTAGTGTTTAAATAAAAATAACTGTTTAGGCCACAATTAAAGTCACAGTCATAGTCAAATGGTCATTTGTTAAATACAATCTTAAATTATTGATTGATTGATTGATAGATTGAGAAAAGACGTTTCATCTTTTTTAATATAGCCTTATTAGCAGTAATGGGATGAAATTTATTTTATACTTATGCACACACACACACACACACTCATATATATTCATCACACCTGTCTCCCATTGAGGTATGATAGATTATATATATTATATTTGCACTACTTACAGCACACAAACAAAAACAGACATAGATAGACGTGTGCATTGAAAAAAGATAAAAGCCAACATATACAAAAAATAAAAAAAACCTTAATGCATAAAGGAAGTAACAGTTTTTCTTTTCATGCATGTGTCATAGTAACACAAAACGGCCACAACTCAGCTTATTGCTTTGCCCTCAAAATAGCGAAACACTGATATTCTTTTGTGGCCAAAAGCCAGCCGTGAAATGTGTGTGTTCATTACATTCACTATTATTTAATATTTTATTCTAATTAATAAATAAATGACAAATACCATTAGAAGAAGAGTTGTCAGAAATCACTTTCTATTATTTTCAAGCATTGGAGTACGCAGTAATAATTGAATGTAAAATGCTCTAATTCAAACAGTCCTCTTTCACGTCTTCCACAAATAATATTGTGCACTTATTTCATCATATATTACCGTTTATATTCCAGTTCTTTTCTGGCTGGTGGTTCATCATTGATGCAGCATCCGTATATCCTGGTAACCTCCCTGATGCTGCCCATGTGTGCGGGGTGATGGCCACTCTATCACTGATCATGGTTAATTCAGTGTCCAATGCTCAGGTAAATGCTATGTTTGCTCTTGAATTGACATTTGTTTTCTTTTTGTACCACTGAGGTGGCAATCAAGCATATGACCCACCTGATGGTAAGTGGTTATCATAGCTTATGAACGCCTGCATTATCAGGGGTATTATGTGTGTGTTGCCGACCCTGAAGAAACCTCTTTACCCCCATTTTGAAGAAGTCCCCTTTGTACCAGAGGGAGACTTTGTACAAAAGTCGATTGCTTGGGTACCTCTGTCCCATTCCTGTTTCTACCGTGAAGCAGTTGTGTTTGCATGGTTGTGTTTCAGTTTGAAGGGTGGGATATGGTCTGAATTTACAGGGTACAGAGGAATAACACCCGAGTCCTCAGGAATGGCAATGCATGGGGGGTATCATGGGCAAAACAGTATACTTTGTTATGTCCATGCTACTGCTCATGTGTATAGGCGACGGTTACCACTTTCCATCAGGTGGGCCGTCAGCTTGTTTGTTATTGTAAGTGGTATAAAAAAAATATTGTGTTTATATATATTTGTCTTTTTCTTAACATCTTCTATCCAAAGGAGGTCTGGAAGAGATTGCTTAACAATAAGGCTGTCTTTTGTATTACTTTAAATAAAAGTTTACTATATTTATTATTTTTACAAATAATGCAATAAAGTGTAAAATAAAAGAAACTAGTTGTATCCTGCGACTTTGCCTGCTTCAATCAGTTTATAAAGTATCCTATGTGTTTAAAATTAAAATATAATCTACATGTGTATCATATTTAATTGAAGTCTACAGTTATTTAAGTGTGATTGAGTAACAAACATGTATGCAAATAAGTTTACAAACTTTAACATTTATAATATTATATATATTATAATATGTTTTTATGGAAATATGTTTTTTTTATTTATTTTTTTTTATAATATATATATAGTAGCCTATAAACACCTATGTTTGAAGAGCATGCTGTAGTCTCTTGGGTGCATGGAGGAAACATCTTTGAATGAATAACATGTTTGCCATCATGCATGTAGGTGGGTCAATACCCAATAAGTCAATGCTGAAATAATGATAATAACGATATATGTATGTATGTATGTTGTAGGTGCGCGGCGAGACTTACACGGGCGGGTGCATGGGCCCCCGGGGCGCGCGCCTGTGGCTGTTCCTGGGCTTCGTGGTCGGCTTCGCGTCCCTCATCGCCTCCTGCTGGATACTCTTCGCCAATTATGTACACGCTGGTATGTATAATTCTATGCCATAATATACCAGATGACCCCGTGTTCTTCATATTACCAACAACGCCATCTACTGAAAGTAATACGAAGTAGAGATTCTCTTATAGAATTACCTATTTTTAATTTTTCAATTCTCTAGCTAAATTTTAAGGTCGTTTTGATTTTTTAAAATCATTATTCACGCTCACTTTTTATTTTTATCCGAGCAGTAAGTGTTTATATTATTCCCAAATTCTTGTATGATATAGTATATATCATATATGTGTAAGTATATTTGTTATTCATATATATTTATTCGTTTATATATGTAATTTTAGTATGTATGTATATAAATAATTACTAGTACCGCATTCGAGTATTCTGACACTTCCCTATGGTTGACTGGGAGAGAATGCTTTTAGCATTAAGTCCGCCGTGTACACATATTTGTACTAATGAATAAATAAATAAATAAAATAAATTATTGTATTACAATGAATAAAATGAAAAAATAATTATTCAAAATGGATTTTTTAGTTGTAACGAGACTGATGAACAGCAATAAATTCTTATATGTACATATATGGAAATAGACTAGTTAACCCGGCAAATGTTGTTTTGCTCCCTACTGCTACCTACCGAGTCCAAAGTTTGGAGGAAACAATATACATTTTAACAAACAACTTTCATTAAAATTGGTTGAGTTGTTTTGGAAATTTTCGCGAAGTACTTTCGATGATAGGAAATTTTCATCATCATAAATTTTCATCGTCATCATCATTGATGAATTGAAGGAGGCCTCCTTTATAATCTGCCATAAGGAACAGTCCCGAACCACCTGCATTCATTGATTCCCTGCAATGCATTTGAGGTCGTCGCTTAATTTAGCGGGGGATTTGTCTTTTTTTTTTAATGGATAATAATGGAATGGTGACCCCGCCTGCGCTAACGATATACGCTGTCGGGGCACCAGCTAGGAGTGATAGCTGGAGATGCAAAGGTAGATCAATTAGCCCATCACGATGAATTCATTTGAAACTGGGCATGATGTTTTCCCGGGGGGAATCGTGAGAACTTAAAATCGACTTAAAAGGGTGTATTGCTGGCAATGGGGTTACTAATCCCCATTACCGATAATCCCTTCTCCCCCTTCCCATTTGTGTTTCTACCGTGAAGCAGTTGTGTTTGCATGGCTGTGTTTCGGTTTGAAGAGTGGGATATGGCGTGAATTTACTGGGTACAGAGGCAAAACATCTGAGTCCTCAGGAATGGCAACGCATGGGGGATATCATGGGCGAAACAGTATACTCTGTTATGTCCTTGGTACTGCTCATGTCTATAGGCGACGGTTACCACTTTCCATCAGGTGGGCCGTCAGCTTGTTTGCCATTCTAAGTTGCATAAAAATTGCCAATTTTGTTTCAAGAACTTTTATAGTGATGACGATATTATATTGTTAATAGGTAACAACAAGTCAACCTGGCCCGGCGTGAGTCTGTTCCTGCAGAACGCGCTCATTTTCGCTGGCTCGCTGGTCTACAAGTTCGGTCGCACCGAGGACCTCTGGGGCTAACTGCTAGCTATTTGTAATCTCAGTTCAACTCTGTCCCATTTGTTTATCGCGTTATTGTTCCGCAATAGGTTAGATGGAAGGGGTATAACATTATATTTCAAAATGAAACTCAATGATAGTTTTCACGATCATGGATCTCGAAATATGACATGAACACATCTGAAGTGAACACATTTATGAAGTACCTAAAACGACAAATTATAGAGCATATATATATATATAGCGGGAATTTTATTTTATGAACTATTTTTGTCCTTCCCGACAATTCTTTCGACTTTTTAAACTCCCACTACACACACAGACACACACACATATATATATATATATATTAATATGTATTCCTAATTATAGTATAATTGAGTTCATGAATATTGTAACAAATTTATGCAATGGTATATCCTTTCCATCCAATCCTGCCCTCCTAGACAAATGGTAAAATAATCTATTGATATATATGTTATCGCTACCGCGTGCATGTGATAAAGTGAGATAGCAACATTCGGCATTTGATTCTGTGTGCGCTAGCGAAAATGGTAGATTAATTTGCTATTATCGAGAGGCTGTGTACTGAATGGAACAAATGTTGATATTCTTAAATCTATTATACTATTTCAAGATATAAAGTCTCGATTTATTCCATCTTGGATTTATTACTGTAAGAATTCTTTTTTATATTTAATTATTTAGAACAAATGTAAGTGTAAAATAAATCATTAAAAATGCTAATATTTGTAACGTCTAATTCACAGAGCTTTAGTATTTTTTTTTTATTTTTATTTAATAGAAATATCTCTTACTATTTTTTTTTTATACAACTTAGAATGGCAAACAAGCTGACGGCCCACCTGATGGAAAGTGGTAACCGCCGCCTATAGACATGAGCAGTGCCAAGGACATAACAGAGTATACTGTTTCGCCCATGATACCCCCCATGCGTTGCCATTCCTGAGGACTCAGGTGTTATTCCTCTGTACCCTGTAAATTCACGCCATATCCCATCCTTCAAACCGAAACACAGCCATGCAAACACAACTGCTTCACGGTTGAAACACGAATGGGATAGAGGTACACAAGCAATTGACTTTTGTACAAAGTCTCCCTCTGGTGAATAACTAGTAAATAACTTACATGTACCTATTCCTATAAGTTTATTTTTTGCAAGATAGCATTTCGCTTCATACTCGTTGGAGACAATATAGTGAGTTTATAAAATTCCCGTTATACATATATATAGAGACATTGTTAAAAGATGAACATATATTGTAAAAATAAAAAATAATAAAATATTTAAGACTTGTTTGTATGATTTGGAATTCAAACATTTTCAGTATTGAATGACGAATGTGCATGGTGTTAGTCGATCATGCGCGGGCTTTTAACGACCATGCAATTTTAGACATAGTACATTTAAATAAATACACATAATGTTAACAGAGATCTAAAAGAGTACCTGTTGAGTTTCTTCTCAACAGATAACAATCTTCCGAACCTTGCAGTCATTAACAATGACGATTTAAAAGGTTGCTTGTTAACAAGTCTTTGAATAAAAATGATTTTAAAGTATTCTGCGGTCCACTGTATGTGAACTAGGATGCCAGGAATGTTCTTTTGTTCCATTGAGTACAAAAAAAAATGTTTAATTATTTTTGTGAGAGAATAGATTAGCAAATGTTTCCGTTTTAGCTTTATAGTATTTGTAATAAAAAATCTATGGCAATGACGATGATTATGGTTTGTTTCAATGATTTTAATGTGTCGGGTATTAATTAATATAAAAGTTAATTTGTAGCTTTTTTTTATTATATTTTACATTTTATATATAATAAGACATATAATAAGGCTTCTGAGGAATTGTTCGGACTGATACCTGCTGCTGATTTTCAATACCGTACAACCCGCCACAAACTAAAGTTTCATTTCAATCATCTGGACGAGTGGCGGTCTTCCGCCGTGTGTTTTTCAAGGCACTTTCTTCCACGCACAACCATTCTTTGGAATCAACTTCCAGCAGCAGTATTTCCGAACCGATACGACAACATAACCTTCAAGAAAAGAGTATATTCCTTTTTAAAAGGCCGGCAGCACACCTGCAATGACGCTGGTGTTGTGGTTGACCATGGGCGGCGGTAGTCACTTACCATCAGGTGAGCCGCACGCTCGTTTGCCCCGTGTTGTAAAAAAAAAGCTGAAACATATAAAAATCGACAAAACAATTATCTTAATCAACTTGCCACATAGTTGATTCTAATTTCCTACCAAAAATGTTCAAACTGCCACAGCATCCAAGAACTAAAGGACAGTGTCTAAAAATATATATATAAAAAAAAATCCATACCAGTAGATGCTCTCGCTGGGGAGCACTTTTTTTGTTCGTGCACGTATAGTGATGATTACACCTGGAATTCAGTACAATGGTTTCTAAGGGGGACCACGTGTAGGTCGACCTGGCAGAGTATATTGCTAGCAATGGGACTGGTAGTTTGCATTACTAACGATTCCTTTCCCCCTTGGCAAACGCAGTTTGGCTTTGGTGATGCTTTAAGATGCTGCTGTTCATCTCTCGATCATTACATTCCCTTTTGTTAAGACATCCCTTAAGACATCCATGGAAAAGGAAGGGGCGACTTCATTATATTGTCTACGAATTATTTAATTAATTAACAAAATAATTACTAATTAATTAATTAATTTACTAACTGTACTAAATAATTATAAATAAATTTAAATTGTTTTAGCTATTAAGGACTTTTAATTGAAATTAAACTAATTCAATATTATGAAATAAATAACTTTAATGCTTTGGCGTCAATAAATTATAAATAATAAAAAAAGCTACGTAAATTGATATTCAGAATACACATTTATGTTTACCTAAGTAAATAAAAGAAAAAAAAAAAATAGTTTAAAAATGTTATTTTGTGATATTTGCATTACACATAAACGACTGTATAATACTTTGGCGTAATTTGATCAAATATGAGCTGACGTTTTATAATTGTTTTTTTTTTTTTTATATTATACATTAAAAACACTCTATGTACAAAATTATTTAATTTAAAATCTCACACACATTCCTAGTAAGGTTCATACATAATATTATTAGGCGTATATTTTTATTTTCACATAGTTTAGGTATTAGAAATTTGTACAGGTGAAATCAGAATTATTAGCAACCTTTTAAGAGAATATTTTAACAGTAAAACTCAATATTTTTCAAAAGAAATATGGGTCGATAAACAAGTTTAGAGCTTTCCATACTAAACTGACAGTAGGACGTGGAGTGTTTGTATGGGAAGCCTAAAATAATGTCTTTCATTTTCATAGATAGAACAGTCCCTTAAAAGAGTAATGATGTATACACAGTCATATTAAAAATTGTAAAGACTTGTACTTTGTGGCATTATTTTATTTGAATTTAAAAATCTTTGGAATTGTCAGTCGCAGTAAGGTTTTTACCTTATTTTAAAGTACTAAAATCTTGAAGTATTTTTTTTTTGTGATTTGTTAATTATGTATGACTGTAGATACATAATAAACTATCATACTATAGGTTACACCTTGTACATTTTATTACTGTAAAAAATCCTCAGCTCCCTGTCGAGGTATTTTCCCAGAGACTACAATTTGGGTTAAAAAGGGTATATTAAGTTAGCAACGCGCACGTGATACCCCTAGTGTTGCAGGCGTCCATAGGCTACAGCGACCATTTACCATTAGACGGGCTGTATGCTTTGCCACCTTCGTGGTATATAAAAAAAAAAAAAAAACTAGTCATTATTTCTTATGTATTTCCTACATAATTTTAAACAACATAACGTCGTATTTGTATGTGAATAATTAAAATTCCTGCCTGCGACACTGTACTGTAACCCATTATTTGTTGTTTCAAAAATAGCTGGTGTGATAACCGAAAAGAACGTATGTGTTCACAATTTATAGCTTTATGGAAGTTGTCATTTAAAAAATAATAAAATGGACAAGGTATATACATATACAGACATACCAAAAATAAATACGACATGTGGAGCATTCGAATAATCGGTTAACTACGACTTCATACAGCGCCATCTGTTCATTCCTAACATAAGATTTTGTTTCTTTACATTATAATTATGAGACACCACGCCGGCATACACAGACCAACAGTGTATGCCGGCTGCAAAACTAGCGACCCGGAGGTTGTCGCCTCCGGAGTAGAAGCCGGGGTAATGGGGTACGTCCCGAGGCCCCTACCTCGCCCGCCCACACATCATCTGGCAGGCAAAGACAAGCCCTTGATTGATTGATTGATAATTTTGAATGACATAGATGGCGTTCTATAAAGCTAAAGCTAGTCGAAAATCGACAGTATGTCTAAATGTACTGTGTTAACAAGTAAGCATTACCACCAAAACGTGGCATTACGTTCAGCTTATAAACTAAAGGATTTGATTCTCTTCATAAACCCCATCGCCCCTGAGACACGTCCGGCTGCCTTGTCCGTTGGGTAGACAGAGCTCGTTGGACCGACAGTCCCCGTTCCAGTACTGACACACGTTCATCGCTGGCGGGCACTGGTCAGGAGCCACCGCTATGCCATACAACCTCGTCGGCTTCGAGATCGTTATATGGCCTCGCACTTGGGTGGTAATGTCTATGTATTCTATTTGTAACCTGGTAAAATAAATTTTATATAATCTATGTTGTGCTCTGCGATATTAATTTATAGTATTGATATTATATTACGATAAACTAAGTATCAGAAACTGTGTGTGAATATACAGATTTTTAAAATGGCTATATCTGTTATATCTAATATGAAAATTACAATTTTATTTTTTATACAACTTAGAATGGCAAACAAGCTGACGGTCCACTTGATGGAAAGTGGTTATCGTCGTCTATAGACAGGCAGTAACCATGGACATAACAGGGTATACTGTTTCGACCATGATACTCCCCCATGCCTTGCCATTCCTGAGGACTCGGGTGTTATTCCTCTGTACTCTGTAAATTCACTGCCACATCCCACCCTTCAAACTGAAACACAGCTGTGCAAACACAACTGCTTCACGGTCGAAAAACGTATGGGACATAATACACAGGAATTGCTTCTGTTCCTCAAATTCGATTATTCAAATCAAATTATCTAATTTAAGCGTGCCAACTAGCAGTAAATAAAAACTTGCAGTAACCTAATTAGAGGGAGTGTCGTGGTGTAATCATAATAACGTACTGTATTGTGCGTAATATTAATAATTATGCCCAATGAATTAAGTAGTGTTGAAGTTATGAATAGAGTTCGTTGGACTCCCAGAGATAACAGCATTTAATATTATACAGAGCAATTTATTTTTAACTTTTTTAAATTGCATTAATTACAAAGAAGAACTAATGTTTTACACGCAAATATAGTACGGATAGGTATCACTTACGTTCTCCAATCTGTCCAATAGAATTTGTTTCCAGTTATGGCCAATCCGAAGGGGTACGAGCAATTGGTTGCAACTGTTACTTTTTCCATGTTTTCGATGCCCACGCATTTGATTGCAAATAGACCAGCGTCGGCGTAACATAATCTGTCTCTCGCCCAGTCGATGGCCAAAGAGTTAGGTAGTTTTACATCGCTCTGGTCCAGGAAAATGCCCCTTTGAGTGCCATCCATGTTTGCCCATTCAATCTTTGGGCCCGAACGGTTCCAGTCAGACCAAAATACTTTGCTGTAAAATGTTTACACGTTTTATAATATTATTGATATGTGTTTACGAGGTGACTTGGATTTTGAGATTTTTTATAGATCACTTTGTTGTTTTTTGTAATACTTACCCTTTCTCTGGATGCACGGCGATACCTCTTGGATTGCTGATGCCTGTTCCAGAGAATAATACTTTCCTCACTTTTGTGTCAATGTTGGCAACTTCAATTGTATATTTCTTCGAGTCCGTCCAAAATATGTTCCTTGCTGCCCAATCGACAGAAATGCCTTCTGGTGCTTTAACGTCTGTAATAATATGTGTATTTAGTATAGTACTAGATATCAATACATTAATAGTAGGTATAAGCAACTAAATCTTACCGTTTGGCAGGTAAAAGTTGAATCCTGAGCCATCATACGCTGCACTTTTTATGCTATTACCAATCACGTCGCCCCAATAAATCGATCCTTTTTGACAGTCTATATCAATTCCTACTGCTGTTTGGTAGACAGCACTGTTTATTGGGGTTGGATATTGTCTAGAGTTGATGTGGAATGGTACGCGGTACACAGATGCACCGTCACTCACTACTATGAAGTTGCCAGTCTGTCTTGGGTTCAGTTGACAAATGCTGCCGTTTCCACTATATCCCGCATTGCATACGCACCCATACTCATCACCTCGTTTTAAACATGACGCGTGACTATCGCAGAGATTTGGAGTATTTCTACAATTCTCTTCTAGAGTACAAGTATACCCGTCCCCGACGTATCCCTCCCTGCATTGGCATTGGTATGTGTTTTCGACTGGTGCGCAAACAGCGTCAATGCTGCAGTCGTTAATGTCGTTGCACGTCGTGACCGTTGGATATCTTTGTTCTGGTAAACACTGAGACACGCCGTCACCTTCATAACCGTCATTACAATGACAGTAGTGGACATTAATCTCGTTGTCGTACAAGCAGCTCGCGTGCTGAACGCATTGTGCTCCGTTGCACAATTGGCCGGGTATGCAGGCATCGTTCTGGTCTTTCACGTAGCCGTCTACGCATTGACAAATGTACGCACCGCTGGTGTCGTCCAGACGGCATTCTGCGTTGTATTCGCAATCGGAGTCGTTGTTACAGATAAAGTTTGGCCGACATTCGTAGCCATCGCCGTGGTAGCCGCTGTTGCAGACGCAAAGGTACTGCCCAGTCGGTGTATCGATGCAGTGACCGTTGGGACCGCAATGGCACTCGTAGCTAGTTCGCTCGATACATTCGTAAGCGTCACCCTCGTATCCTTCAGGGCATACACAGTGTCCTAAATCCTCTGTTGGTGTCTTAGTATTTGTGTAATAACAAATTGCATTCGGAGGACAATCGCCATCGTGTGAACACTTGACTGAAATAGGTAATTATTGTTAGAACATGAAATTTACAAAAAAATATTCAAATATAATTATTAGATAACGAGAAATTGTTTTGTTTTCAAATTATGATAGCTTGATTATCTTAATGAAAATGTAAGTAATCGAACACTTTCATACACAACATGGAACCATATAGACCAGACCCAATTTGGAAAAGTTTCACTGTTGTTTGTTATGATTTATCGAGAATTTAATAAGTATATTTTAATCGAAGCAATCTCCATAACCACAACGCCATGGAGGTCGTGATTATAAAAACAAACTTAGATGGAAAGGTGAGCAGTGAGGGACTATAATGCTAGATGAAAGTAAGTTTTAGGTAAACTGCATTTGTTTTCAAGCATGTTTTTCAGAAATAGGTTCTAGTAAAAGGAAACTGCAGTTTATTCTAGTGTTTTGATATATTAAATATTACTAGGTTATTATTTCGTTATACTTGGATTTAACCAATATTTGTTTATTTATCAATGGGTAGATGCTACTAAAATTTTATGAGTAACTTACGTGTGGTATCGTTTGTAGATTTTTCAACATCAGGTATATAGGTACCAAGGTGGCATAATTCGTTATCGAAACTGTCGCGGTAACTTGAATAACCTGCTGGACAAACGCAGCCGGAGTCGTCACAGTGTGGCAGCACAATTGTCTCGTTGTAAACCGCCTCAGTCACTGTAGGTGCTGTCGGCGTCGTAGTATACTCATCTTCTGTGCAATAATAACCGTTACCAGAATATCCTACGTGACATCTACATTCATAACTTCTGGTCTTTTCAGATATGACACAAGAGGCATCCGGAGAACAGGCGTTGTTGCACGGGATCACAGGCCAACATTGAATACCGTTGCCTGTGTAGCCAGCCTTACAAACACATGTAGGCTCTCCTAAGTAGTTTAACGCACACTGAGCGTTAGGATGGCAATTCTTATTTTTGCATAACGACGTTGTTTGGCAAGTAAAGCCGTTGCCTTCGAATCCACCTCGGCATACACATTGAAATCCTCCGTCGTAGTTGAAGCAGTCAGCGTTTACGTCACAATTGTGAGTTCCAGCGGCGCATTCGTCTACATCGATGCATGCGACGGAGTCCTCGTGGAAAATATTGGAGAAACCTGACTGACATTCGCAGGTGAACGTATCGCCTTGCACTACACACGAGCTATGCGGCCCGCAAGAATTCCGGCCTTCTATACATGGATCTTGTTGCCCTATCGGCGATATTTTGTTACTCGTCCCGTATCTAACTACATTTTCGCCGACTTCATAGCCAAGATAGTTCTTTGTGATTTTCATTGTAGTCAGTGTTTTGTCGTCGTCGCTAATTGGTGCGAATCGGCAAGGGCTGTAGGTGAAACTTTGTGATACCTTTTGTTCGTATTGCTGTTGCGTGAGTCTGTTGGTAAATTTCCGAGTTGACTGCGAGCGAACCACACCGGGTTCGACAATCGTATATTGTTCTTCGAATTCTGATATATCAAGCTTCGTTTCGTTTAAAAGAGCAGGTAGCGTCCCTTGCACATATACTTCTATTGTAATCTGGTCAAATACATCGTGACCCAAATATTCTTGATTAATTGTAATCATTTCATTTGTTCCACTAAAGTAAATGTCTGCAGTGTGATTAAATAAGGAGCCCGTTAATTGGTAACCGTTTTTAGCTCCACCACTGGGTTTAGCGAAGAGCCAGCCAACTGTAGTGTCCAAAACGGTTAAAAATTGAAGAGTGCTACCGATAACAGGCGGTACTAGAGACAACGCAGTGTACGATCTGCCATCAGCGACGACTACGTAAGCTTGTATGTCTACATCATTTAAATTCACACCGTTTATGATACCATTCAATTTCCCATGCACTCTAAGTGGTACATCATCTTTCACGCATGATTTACCATTGCCGTAGAATCCTTCATTGCACTGACAGCAAATGCCAGCTTCATAATCGACGCAACGGGCCTGCATGTGGCAGATGCTGGGTCCACTTTGAGCACATGTTTTAGACTCTTCCTCGAGGTCGATGTCGGTTTGGTTGTATTGATCGGGTACAGCAATATTACTATCAGGAGGTATGTTTCCAACACGGAAAGCGTATTTACCAGGCTCTTGAGTGTTCGACCACCTGCAATAGAAATATATCAAATACTTAATATCAGTAACCGTATTTGAAATAATTTAGTTACGAGGCTACTTACGCGATAACATTCCGAATTTGATCACTACCCGAATTTCTGACTGTATAAACGCGACCATCTTCGGCGACGAAGCCCACTTGCGCTTTAGCATCAGGCAGACTCAGTTCTTCGGGCTCTCTTTGTATCCACTGTATTTCTCGATCGGGATACAATAGTTCTACGAAGCTTTCGGTACCGTTGCTGATCACTGCAATTTGGAAGCTGTTCCTGCGTTGGCGTTCATTGTTATTTCTCCGTGTGTATGTAACATCGATCCAAGTGGCTATGAAGACGCTGGTAGGCTTAAAGTCATAGTAATCGTGGAAATTGTCCTGAACTGTTTCCTCTGCTTTGGACAGCACGTGGGATTCATCTGTTTCTCTATAGTAGACCGTTCCTGATTCTGTAGTGTCCACGTTGGTGTAGAATGCTGCTATGGATGGGTAGGGCAGCGGGAATTCTGCATTTAAAAACGATGGGATGTCAGCCCTGAAGGAAATTATACCAAAGTTGTTTACCTGTAAAAATACAAAATAAATGGTGAACATTTTTAAAATAGTGCCATTCTAATTATTTATATCTGATGTTTAAAATGGATTTTTTATTCATAACTAGCTTGTTGCCCGCTACTGCGATTGCGTGGATTTTAATTTTTTTTTATACAACTTAGAATGGCAAACAAGCTGACGGCTCACCTGATGGAAAGTGGTAACCGTCGCCTATAGCATGAGCAGTACTGCGATTGCGTGGATTTAAGGTTTTTTTTTTTTATACAACTTAGAATGGCAAACAAGCTGACGGCTCACCTGATGGAAAGTGGTAACCGTCGCCTATAGACATGAGCAGTACCATGGACATAACAGAATATACTGTTTTATCCATGATACCCCCCATGCTTCCCTTTACGGCCCTAGTCTTCTAAGTTCCTTTGACTATTATATACATATTTCCAATTTCCATTCCGTTGCCATTCCTGAGGACTCAGGTGTTATTCCTGTGTACCCAGTAAATTCACGCCATACAAAGTAGAAAAACCAATGATATAATCATTTCTAGGTGGTGATGGATGTGTTAGAGAAACATTAATAAATGGAATTAAATTAGTACGTATTAATAAATGAATAAAGGAGATTAATAAAACGAATAAATCTTGAAAATTATGATTAAATTATTAGCATTGCTTTTAAGTTACATTATAAATAAATAACATATAATGGAGGGGTATATCTACTTTTTAATTTAGTCACGAGTATAGTGACTATTAGGTATAGTCAATACCAAGTCCAGATTTGCTAACAATATTGATCGATATTTTAAACTGCAATTTTTTTTAATATATATTCTTTATTGCACTTGTAAATTACATTGTTAATGCACTTATAAATATTGTGAGCAAGGGTGGACTTATCTTTGATAGAAATCTAGAATATAAAAGTCTGCGGAGCTTCATTTATTGCGACAATGTCAAGCGGAGACATTTTCTGCTGAGATTGCGGCCTTACAACGTAGGGAACCACTACCTAAATTCAGTAAAATTGCAAAACTTTCCATTAAGCAGACTTCAGATGGCCTTCTTCGTCTAGATGGGAGAGTATCTGCTATCCTCCGATTTTAGATGGTCGTCACCACATCATAATATTACTAAACGGATATTAGTTTTTAACTGTTTTTATCGCTTTTATTTGAGAAATTTTTCATTTATTTGGCACCCATTTTTACAACAAACAGTTGTCACAATAAGTCTTATATACCTACTATTTACAATACTAATTCTTAATTATTGTGAAACTGACACCGCTATTTACAGGTAAAGAAGAGAAGTATACATATGTATAACTAGACACAATTTTTATTATATGTAGGTGTAACGGCTAAAGATTGGCACCGTAAATATGTAATACGAGATGAGTTTTTTAACCTTTTCCTTTTGAAAATTGCTGAAATATTTGGTGGTATTCTTAGATTTACCAGGCAAATTGGCCGTATGGTCCCGGTATAGCATAGGACACCGCTTCCTATCCCGTGGATGTCGTAAGAGGCGACTAAGGGAGGGCGAGGGATGAGCAGCAGCGTCTCTCTTAAAACATCTCTAAAGTCTAACTGCGGTTGCCAATTCGCCTGCCAAGCGTGCCAGCTACTGACAAAACCAACTAAAGGGGAGGTTTACGTTCAGCGGTGGACAGTTTTTTTTACATTATCTAATTTAGTTAGCTTAATTTTACATTATTTAATTAATTCTTAAATTGTTGCATGCCCGATAGGGTATAACTGTTGATACTGATGTCAAATTCAAAGCAATGGTTACTGCTATATGTATGTACACAGTTAGCAATAAAAATCTATTCTATTCTATTCTATTAGTGAGAGGTCGTGGTGTCAAGTATTCGTATACAGAATTAGCAGATCGGGACATTATCTAACGATGACTGTTGGTGGCCACATCGTTAGTTATGTAAACTGTTGGGTGATAGCATTATCTCTCTCTATTCAGACATTTTATTATTATCGTACACGAAGAGGTCTCGACTTTTGATTATGTTCGTGACATAAAAATACCAAATTTCTAACGTTCCGGCTTGTTCTATTCATGTTGTAAGCAATAATTTTTAAGGTTCATTAACAGAATGGTGAAAGAGGAATCTTTATAAGGCGTCTTTGTCCGTCCGTTCGCCCGTTTGCTACAGCGATATTTTTAAACTAAGGTTGGCAAATGAAAAGTTAAAATTAAGGATATTTTTGACACTTCGATTACTTGGGTACCTCTATCCTATTCGTGTTTTAACCGTGAAGCAGTTGTGTTTACATGGCTGTGTTTCGCTTTGAAGGGTGGGATATGGCGTGAATTTACTGGGTACAGAGGAATAACACCTGAGTCCTCAGGAATGGCAACGCATGGGGGGTATCATGGGCGAAACAGTATACTCTGTTATGTCCATGGTACTGCTCATGTCTATAGGCGACGGTTACCACTTTCCATCAGGTGGGCCGTCAGTTTGTTTACCATCCTAAGTTGTAAAAAAAAATACTTAGCTATATACAGTCTTATTGTTAATCAATTTTATAGCTTAAAAGTAAAATTTAATAAATTATTTTACGTGTACTCAAATTATCAACTCTATATTCTTCCAATAGCAGTTAATGAATGACCATAATACAGTTTGCTGATGTCCAATAGCAGTGTAAAACAAAAATCAATTATGTTAATTCACGTATTGATTTGTTATTTGGCTATTTAATTAACTGCAACATAACTTTAAGTTTTATTGAAGTAGAATACATCTAATTATTTACAGATGATCTTAATAACTAAACCCATGGATTATAAGTTGCTAAGGATCGTTATAAATTATAATGTTGTAATAATTTACGTATATGTTGGTATATGTTACATACTTGTATTAGTGTTTTTTTTTATATTTATTTATAGAAGAAGGTGGAATGCTGGCTAGTTAAAGATTGATCCATCCATAGCTGAATATAGGCATTCTATTAGGGGGGTTTTAGGCTTTGGTGATGTTTTAAAAGAAATGCTGCTGCCCATCTATTGACCATTAAGTTCTCTTCACCTACGACGCCTATGGGAAAGGAAGGGGCGACCCAGTCTGTGCCCTTTGTTATTAGGTAAATTTTTTTTTTATATACAACTTAGAATGGCAAACAAGCTGACGGTCCACCTGATGGAAAGTGATAACCGTCGCCTATAGACATGAGCAGTACCATGGACATAACAGAGTATACTGTTTCGCCCATGATACCCCCCATGCGTTGCCATTCCTGAGGACTCAGGTGTTATTCCTCTGTACCCTGTAATTAATGGAGTTTCTATAGAATATTGTACACAATCATAAATAAATAATTCAAATAGGAAATTTACTAGCAACTTGTTTTGATGCAGGTACCACGTTTCGTCACAAGATTTTCGAAGACAGTCGAACTAGGCTCAGCTCATGACTTGATCGACGTAGGTACACAAATTTTTAGTTCCAAAATGCAACGAAACAATATTTGCAAAAGATAGCGGTGCGATAGCGAGCTGCATCGCTGCAGTGCGCTGCACAAACGGACGCGCGTGGGCGTATCGCTGGATAGCGGCGGTCACTGACTGCGAAATGGTTTTTTAAGCGACTTCCAGAAGAATTCAGAGAAATTACATGCGATTATGGTGTTATAATTCTCGGGAACGACGACGCATGGTTTCAATTATGATAATTACAAATTATTACATTAATGTACTGTGTCTAAAATTATCAAATTGAAGGACAGAAACAAATCTCTGGTATTGCAGGTGTTCATAGGCTACGGTAACCACTTACCATCAGGTGGTACGTATGCTTGTTTGCCACCTCAGTGGTATAAAACAAATGCATATAATTACATGTTACTTACATTTGAAGAAATTGCAGTTAGAATTAAATTAATTTGATCGATTGTAGAGTGTGGTCCCGGCATAGAATTGGCCACTCATTCTTTTCCCGTGGGTGTCGTAAGAGGCGACTAAGGGAGGGCGAGGGATGGGCAGCAGCGTCTCTCTTAAAACGTCTCTAATCACCTAACCGTGGTTACCAATCCGTCTGTCAAGTGTGGCAACCTCCTAAGGGGAGGCTTATGTTCAGCAGTGGACAGATAAAGGCTGATGATGATGATGAATTTGATCGACCAATCTTTATTTGTGAACCACGAGAAACAATTTTTTTAAAAATCAGTAAATATTTTTAAACAAAGATTGGAACAGATTAAAAAGAATTTTATCTTCCCAAAAACAATATCGTTAATTTGTTAATGGTTATATCATTTTCGGAATTCTTGGCACTTATCGTTTTTATCTTCAGTGCATCTACAATAGAAATACATAGAAGCTTCTCTTTGTTTTGTGTTTTTGTATAGGAAATCAATGAGTGATGACATCATTTTAACTATTCCTTTCTTTCCGTGAATAGAGAAAGTAGATAAAACTTTATCTAAGAAATTACTTCAGGGTACGATAAGGCTGATATACCTGAAGAAGGTAAAAATCCTTAAAAAACTATTTCTATAAAAATGAGAGCGTTGTGTCAGTCTGCAGATCAAGATATCTAATTCAGTCTCTGATTTTGACACAAGGAGCAAAACGTTTTGGTTTTAGAATTGGCAGCCCATTTAGAGTGCCATGGGCAGCACTGTATTATCATATTGAACTATTTTTTTCATTTAATATATAAAAAATCTAAATTCCAATCTATAAAGCTTAACCGATTTTCATGCAGTTTTGTACAGGTGTATCGTTTGCTCCAATCTCAATAATAATAGTTTTTATGCCGAAAAATAGTAGCCGGTAGGTGGCAGAAGAGGGCATAACAACATTGGGTTAGCTAGCTATATGAATATAGGTATTACAATAATGAAAGAAACTTATAAAAAACTATTTCTTTTATGTAACTTACAATGGCAAACAAGCTGACGGCCCACCTGATGGAAAGTGGTAACCGTCGCCTATAGCCATGAGCTGTAACATGGACATAACAGAGTATACTGTTTCGCCCATGATACATTCCATGCGTTGCCATTCCTGAGGACTCAGATGTTATTCCTCTGTACCCAGTTGAGTTCTTTATTTATTTATTTATTTAAATTGTCATACATAGGTAACAATGGATGGTAAAACAATATAAGTCCTCTATGATCAACCCCATCTATCGAGGTATACAGATTCGCAATTTTATAAGATAAGAAATTATATAAAAAAAAAAAATCAACAATGTCACATTTATAGTAAAAAATCATAATATTAAGGAAATTTATTGCATTTATCTCCGAGGAAACCGTCGATTGAATAGTATGTTCTGTTTACTAGGTATTCATACAGTTTAGTTTTATATTTTTTTATGTCATATATGTCTGTGAGGGATTTAGGTAAGTTATTGTATATTCTAGGTGCCATACCTAAGTTCGAATCTAGTTATCTGGTATATATAAATAAATACTTATCAGATAACTAGATTATATAAAAAAATAATTAGAGTTTATCTAATAATAATAGTAATACACATTTAAAATTTCAATTTAAAATCTATTTAAGTTTTTTATGCCGCTAGAAACGAAAAAAAGCTGCTTTAAGTATTAACCGTCGCTTATAGATATCAATAACGCCATGGTACACTGTGACGTCCATGGTATCCCATCATGTGTACGAATCGATTGAGTTTGAAATACTTTATCTGGTTTATTAAAAAAATAAATATCAATAAAATAAAAAGTAGGAATCGTCTTAATCCTAATAATATAATAAATGCGAAAGTTTGTAACGACGGATGGGTGTTTGTTATTTTTTAACGCAAAAACTACTGAATAAAATTTAAATGTAATTTTGTTACACAGGTAGGTTGTATGTTAACTTAGCATTTAGAATACTTTATATATTGATTAATCCGGGCGAAGCAATGGGATATAGTAATAGATAAAAACACCTAATTCTCTCTCGAATTTTCTCCTTTTTTTTTGACATTCATTGGTCAAGACAGAAAAATTTACAGACCACAAGTTTGTTTGTTGCAATTATCACAATATTAATATCCAGAACTGACTACAAAATAAAAAGTACTCTATCCCACATGTTATATATATGCAAAATTTCATGACAATCGGTAGAGCCGTCAAAGCGCCAATATTTAACAAAAATAAACCGCTTTAAAATATAATGCAAGTAGTTAATATTATTAAAAAAACTTAAATTTTTACTTCTTTTACGTATTTATATAAAAATAATATTTAGAATACGATATCAAATGATATTCAACTAAATGTCAATTAAAAGTCAATTAATAAATAATAATGCATAAAACAAAACAAATTTTAGCAATAGACGCATTCTTGACCTTACTTCCTGTCTGTCTGTATAAGATCCGGCTTTAAGATAAAGTTAGTTAATAAAAAAAAAAAAAAAAACTTACGAAAAGGGTCCCGTACGTTTCTCCGTAGAATATGATGGGTACTTTCAAAGTCACTTCAGGGGAGGGCACCTCGTTGCCCTTAGGCAACCTTTGGTCCAGCCCTGACCCGTACGGGTAGAACTGGTCCCGCGTGATCGCGCACGCGCCCGCTACCAGAAACAACACTCCGGCGCACGTCCACATCGCGTCAACACCGAACCGACACTACTGGCGTCCACTGGAAATGCTGGAGACACATTTTTTTTACCACAACCCCATAATAAAACGAAAATAGCTGAAAGCTCTCGTCCACTTTCGACTAGTTATGTTTTTAAAATAACACCGCGCCGTGTTGCAACCGATATTTACGTGATGCGCTATTGTCTTTTTTTTTTCTATAAAAAAAATATATATTTGAATGTGGAACGTTGTGGGACATATTAGAAAATGGAACGGCCGTCTTACGCCTGTATATCACTACTAATAACTCTATAAAATGTCTGTTAATGCGATTTTGGCGCCAAAATGGTTGCCAATCATTTACCATGTCTATCCATTGTCTCGTATGTTTAACAGCGTCAAAATTCCGACAACAATTTTAGTGTTACGGTTATCGTAGGTAGAATTTTTTTTTGGATAACAATGTAATGGTTTTTTTTTAAACTCATCGTATCAGTCGTCTTTTTACTGTAACTTAGGCCTCCCCTTGTTTTTACTATATAAATATAATTAAAGAATTATTTTTTTTATACAACTTAGAATGGCAAATAAGTTGACGGCCCACATGATGGAAAGTGGTAACCGCCGCCTATAGACATGAGCAATACCATGGACATAATAGACATAGAGTATACTGTTTCGTCCATGATACCCTCCATGCGTTGCCATTCCTGAGGACTCAGGTGTTATTCCTCTGTACCCTGTAAATTCACGCCATATCCCACCCTTCAAACCGAAACACACAACTGCTTTACGGTAGAAACACGAATGGGACAGAGGTACCTAAGCAATCGACTTTTGTACAAAGTCTCCCTCTGCTCACCTGTACAAAATGTAAAATAAATGGTGAACATTTTTAAAATAATTGCCATTCTAATTATTTATATCTGATGTTTAAAATGGATTTTTTTATTCATAACTAGCTTGTTGCCCGCTACTGCGATTGCGTGGATTTTTAGAAGTAGAAAATCCAATGACATAACCACATCTAGGTGGTGATGGATGTGTTAGAGAAACATTAATGAATGGAATTAAATTAGTACGTATTAATAAATTAATTAAGAAGATTAATAAAACGAATAAATGATAAAAATTGTGATTAAATTATTAGCATTACTTTTAAGTTACATTAAAAATTTATATAGTATATATAGTAAGAATAATTGAACTCAGTTCAATTAACGAGTATAATTAACTAATGATATTATTTAAATGAAAGGTTTGTTTATTGTATGTGTAAATAAATAAATAAAATAAATAAATAACTTGAGTTTCGCGATGCAAAAGCGTTACTAAAAATACCTAGGAATTGAAACTTTCCTTTGAAAATAAAATAAAAATTTATACGAGTTAAAATAATTTAGTATTACTATAAAAGTAGTTACAATTAAAGCGTAATTAATGATATTTGAATTGAGACGATATGATTAACAAGAGTTTCCGTAGAGTGTTAATAATGGACAATGGCCGCCGGGAACGCTTATCTGTGTGTTTGTTTGTGCCCATTATTGTGTCTACTAACACGTAAACTCTCTTGTATTGTTGATTGTAGTTTTGTTTGTTATCGCCCATATAATTATGTAATAAACTTACTGCTATGGAGTGCCTGCATTCTTCTTTGTAAAAGTAATGTACAATTGTTTTGCTGTGACGTTTATCGCATTCAAATTGATTGCAATTAGATGATTTAAACTGTATTTGCTTCAATCATACTTTTATTTATTCTTCAGGTCTTGTAGACCTTATTTCAAGTCTCTAAATTTATTACCTGTTCCCAGTCTGTATATACTTGAAGCGGGTATATTTGTTAAATTAAATAAGCGCATGTTTACAGAAACAAAAGAGCAAATACGAAGAAGCGCAAGATACCCTAAAAAACTAGTGACCAATACAATTCCTAAAACAAGCCGTTTATTAAGAAATTCCTATGTGATGTGTTTAAAAATCTTTAACAATATACCTACGGATATAAAGGAACTTCCATTAAATAAATTTAAAATTGTATTACGTAAATGGTTACTAAGCAAAAGCTTTTACTCTGTAGACGAATTTTTTTTAAAAAAGAATGTATAAATATCTAATATAGTTGTCGATGCATAAATTAATCAGTTCCTATCAAAATGTGACATTTGCATGCTATTCTGTAATGGCTGAATAGACTTGAAACTATGTAATATAAGATTACCGATACCTATCCTATTTTTTTTTATATAACTTAGAATGGCAAACAAGCTGACGGCCCATCTGATGGAAAGTGGTAACCGTCGTCTATAGACATAAGCATACACAGTACCATAGACATAACAGAGTATACTGTTTCGCCCATGATACCCCCCATGCGTTGCCATTCCTGAGGACTCAGGTGTTATTCCTCTGTACCCAGTAAATTCACGCCATATCCCCACCCTTCAAACCGAAACACAGCCATGCAAACACAACTGCTTCACGGTTGAAACACGAATAGGACAGAGGTACCCAAGCAATCGACTTTTGTACAAAGTCTCCCTCTGGTGGTGTAATGCAAATAAATTTATTATTATTATTATATACTAGCGAACCAGCCCGGATTCGCACAAGTAGATAGAATTTTCAAAAATAATATATAGTTTAAGTTACTCGCTGAGAATATAGCTTTCTATAGGTAAAGGACTTTTTAAATTCGGCTGAGTAGTTCTCGAGTTTATACATTAAACAAATGAACGATCAAATCTTTCCTCTTTGTAATATTAATATAGGTAGATAATTACTAGCTAAACTGGCTAATGCTGTTTTATTTTTTAGCGTTTCGTGCCTTAAAACAAAATAAACGGAATCCATATAGGATCACCATCATTTCAGCCATTATCCGTCCACTGCTGGACATAAGCCTCCCCCATAGACTGCCATAAAGAACGGTCCTGAGCCACCTGCATGCAGTGACTTCCTGCAATGCATTTCAGGTCGTCACTCAATCTAGTGGGGGTCGTTCTACACTGAACTTGCTCGTACGGAGTCGCCACCCAAGAACTTTCCTTCCCTATCGGTTGTCGGTTCTTCGAGCTATGTGACCAGCCCATTGCCACTTCAGCTTGCTTCAAGTTGAAATAAATAAAAACAATCTTTCTTAAAAATCAATAAAAATTCATTAAAATAGGTTGAATTTTAATAGGCTAATGAGAGGTTTTGGTGAATGCCATTAAGATGGGGACAATGAAGCATACGCTCCGCCTGATGGTTAACGGTCAGAGCCAGCTCGTGAATGCGTGTAACCGAGCGGAGAGTACAACGTCAGCACACTGCATCTCCGCCTACAAGTTGTTATGTCTCGTAGCTCTACAAATAACGTACAATTTGCACATTCCAACAATTCGTGTCTCGCTGCAGCGCTGTTATTTTCAGAATGTTCGGTTATTCAAAACATTTGGAGCGTGCGTTGCTTTTGTTGTGTGTTTTATAATGTTATATACATTATAATGTACAGAAGTAGGCAATCTTAGGAATGTTGGTGTTATTTTTAGTTGAACTTTAAAGGAAGACTTCCTTTTCTTTGATTTTGTACATGGTCACTCTCTATCCCATTCGTGTTTTAACCGTAAAGCAGTTGTGTTTGCATGGCTGTGTTACGGTTTGAAGGATGGGATATGGCGTGAATTTACTGGGTACAGAGGAATAACACCTGAGTCCTCAGGAACGGCAACGCATGTGGGGTATCATGGACGAAACAGTATACTCTGTTATGTCCATGGTACTGCTCATGTCTATAGGCGACGGTTACCACTTTCGATCAGGTGGGCCGTCAGCTTGTTTGCCATTCTAAGTAGTATAAAAAAAAATGAAAAACAGACAATTGATGGGGAAGAAAGTTTCTTGACCTCGTATGGTCAAACGCAGTATAGGAGAATCCCCCACTAGATGCAGTGACGACCTTAAGTGCGTTGCAGAAAGTCAGTGGATGCAGGTGGCTCTGGATTGTTTATTATGGCAGGCTATAGGGGAGGCCTATGTTCGGAAGTGGACGGATAATGGCTTAGATGATTAAATAGTCTATGGTTACATTGCTCCATTTTACATTGACATAATATAATATTTAGGGTAGTTTAGTGTTAATGAAAGCGATCTATAAACTCGACACCAGATGGCGATACTCTCACACGAGCAGCAGTAAGTTTAGTTTGTTTTTTCGTAGCTTAAAATGGTAAACAAGCTGATGGTCCACCTGATGGAAAATGGCAATCGTTGCCAATAGATATGAACATCGTAGAATACACGGTACGCCTATAGCACGTCTCTGTATTGTCATTACTCTGTATTCTGTAATTTCACTAACATATTTCATCGATCAAACCGAAACACAGCACTGCAAGTACAACTGTTTAGTGCCCCCAAACGTACTGTACTCAAACACGAGTAGAACGAAGTTACCTATACAGAAGGCTTGTCGTCAGTTTGTTTGTCATACCACATTATATAAAGTGCAGTCAAATTCAGAATCTGCCTCGTTTTGAAGCCCTTAAATCAAAAGATGCTAATAAGGGGGAAAGGGATTGTTAGCAGTGGAGTTTGACAGCCCCATTGCTAGCAATATACCTTATTAGGTCGACCCCCACACGGTTCCCCCTGGACACCATCGTGAACAATTCTTGTTGAATTCGTCACGATGGGCTAACTGACCTACTTCATCTCGTCACCTATCATCCTTCATTGGTGCCCCGCCGGTGTATACCGATAGCGCGGGTGGGGTTACCATTCCATTATCATCCATTAAAAAAAAATAGAAGATGCTAATATCGTTTTTGTGTTGCACTTGTAAAATTATCGTGGAGCGTCGACCTAGCAATCGAAAACAATTCGTGACAAAAATACTTATAGTGTAGCTAAATTGATACACATTTTGGGTCGGTGGCTCTTATTATAAAATGCATGTGAATTGTTTTGGATTTGGCAATTTGCCTCGTCGGACCAACTAGTATTGAAGTATTCGAATGTTCAACATAATTTTTTTTTATCTTGTGTGTGATATAAATAGTTTGTGTGATTTTTAACTATACAGAGATAACCTTTTTATCATTTTTTATACAAGATCCGTGTAAACAATAGAATTGGTTAGTTACATAGTTTTTATAAGCATTGATTAGAATAGACAAGT